TGAGCACAGCCTCTGGCCCACACCATCTGGAGAGCTTTCTTTTGTCTGTATTCAACCCATCCTCCATTATGCTAAACAAGGATCTGAGAGGCAGAGGGCTATGGAAAGGTCTCCTGTTTGTTTCCTGCCTTATGGAATATTCTATAGAAAAGGGCATTTCCTCCTTTGCAGGCTTGGAGGGAGAACAGGGTGGGGGAAGAGAAGCTGCTTGGAGTCTTAAGAGAGGCTGTTTGCTACAGCCTCAGGATCGAGAGCAGAGCCTTGAAAGCTGTCATCTATCTGATCTATCAATTTTAATCTATCTATCTCTAAGCTGGATGCCTTCATCTAATCAGTTAAGGTTGCGCTGCTGTTATCTGGAGAGCTTGTAACCAGAATTAGGCTCTGCCTGGGGGAAAAAGAGGAGGTGAATAAATGTCTTCTAATTCAGCACTGGTGTGCAAAAAGGAAAAGAAAAACCTACATCATAGTGTCGCTGTGAGAACAAAATGGGGGCAGAGGGACAGTGCATACCACTTTGTGTTTATTTTATGCTTGCTTTTCTTAGCATACTGAATGCATTTTCCGCCCCCCCCCCCCGTGTCCCCCAAATTTCATGAACACTGAAGTACATCCCACCTGACCCCTGAATTAAAATTGGGGGCACAGCTTCACACCTGAAACAAGCTGCATGTTTTTAGCATGCAAAGGTAGAAATCTCATGTTCCTTTTCAAGCACTTTAATGACAAACATCACTGCGGTCCACCAGTTATGCCTTTCATCATCATCATCATCATCATCATCATCATGTCACCTCCAGCTATTTTGGGAGAAGACTTTTCCTGACCTGCTTAGCTTAGGAGTGCCCTGCCGTGATTAGACAGTGCCCTGCTGTGATTAGACAGGCTGCTTCCAGATTTTGCCATTTTGGGGTGGGATTCAGTTGCGCTGCATGGCGTTTATATCCCATATTTTCTCCAAGGAGCTCAAGGTGGCGTACATGTTTCTCCTTGCTTCACATTCGACCCCCACAACTGTGGTAATTGTACTTTACAGAGTTGTGCAGAAGTTGGCCTGGGTGGTTTGAACCGTTTTTAATAGTTCTCTTTTCTCCTAGAAAAACCAGGCAACATTTGCTTTTCAAAGTTTAAAAACAACATATGACTTGTACCTGCTGTACTTGCTCTGGTCAGATTGAATGTACAAGAGAGGTAGCTGATATTTGTGTTACTGAAACATATTTCACACTAATTTGTATCTGAGACTGACTGATATTTACAGACTGACTCAGAGGACAGGTAGTAGCAGTACACAACACACTTGCTGCTTTCACTGTTAAAACTCTCACAGAGTTGATAACTGAACTAACTGGGGGTGAAATTCCTCAGTATATATGGCAAGATTCTATGCTATAGCATTAACCCTTTGCATAACATTTTGGATGCACCATTCCCACAACAACAACCCTGTGAAATAATTTAGACTGAGAGGCAGGGACTGGCTCAAGGTCACCCAGTGAGCTTCCATGTGACTGTGTGGGAATTTGAACCCTGATCTCTCCCAGGTCCTAGTGTGACACTCTAACCACTACACCACACTGACTCTCATTTTCATGCTGGCAAATTCAATTTCTCCAATTAAATTCAGACTTTTTTTTTTATCCCACGTTCATGATGATTTGTGCTCATGGTGCTTTTGGGGCAGCCACACACGATTCTGCTTTCAGTACTGTTTGTTCCTGCAAAGGTTTCAGGGTGGTTACCCTGCTTCATTTCCAGTCAGTGCGAACGCAGTAACTTTCTGCTGAAATCCCGTAACTCTTTCATATTACAAATGTTTTGGTTAAATTTTGTCCCACTTTCGTTGCACTATAACCCTTCTGGACAGCAACAATGTGGTAGCTTTGGGGAAGCATTGAAGAAGCTGAAGCAGAATATATCCAGAATACAGTGGTACCTCGGGTTATAAACGCTTCGGGTTACAAACGCTCCAGGTTACAGACTCTGCTAACCCAGAAATAGTACCTCGGGTTAAGAACTTTACTTCAGGATGAGAACAGAAATCATGCGGCAGCGGCGCGGTGACAGCGGGAGGCTCCATTAGCTAAAGTGGTACCTCAGGTTAAGAACGGTTTCAGGTTAAGAACGGACCTCTGGAATGAATTAAGGTACCACTGTACCAGAGGTACCACTGTATATGCAGAAAATACCCTCTCTTACTATGCTGGAACTCATGGGCAGCCAATGAAGCTGAAAGTTGGAAGATTCAGGACAGATAAAAGTGCTTCTTCACGTTAAACTATGGAACTCACTCCTGCGGCAGCCAGTGATGTCCACCCACTTGGATGGCTTTAACGGAGAATTAGGCAAATTCATGGAGGAGAAGACTATGTTCTGCCTCCACAGCTGGAGGCAGCAATACTCCTGAATACCAGTTGCTGGCAACCACAAAAGGTGGTGGGCTTCCCATAGGGACCTGGTGGCCACTGTGAGAACAAGATGCTAGACTTGATCCAGCAGGATCGCCTTACATGCAAAAACTTGCCATTTGCGAGGGGCCCAAGGTTGATTTGGCGCTTTTGCAAACAAAAAGAGGAAAATAAGCACCACATAGAGTCTAACAAAGAGGAGAGTACTTCGGTTTCATCAATGTCCCTAGCATTGCTGAAACAGGGGAAAGGCATGTCAGCCTCACCTTTGTCTCTTTGGTGGGTTTAAGTCAGCCTTCCCTAGCCAGTACCTTCCAGAGGTTTTAGACTACAATTCCCACCAGCCCTAGCTGGGGTTGATGGGATTTGTAGTCCATAACAGCGAGAGGATTGGGCCCCTGGCTGGGAAAGGCTCGTTTACGTATTTCTGACTGGTCCAGCATTAGTGAAATTGACACATACCCTCCAACATGCCTGGGAGGAAAAAAGGGATATAAGTCTTTTGGGGCTGCACTCCCAGGCGAATAATTTGACTTGCATGAGAGCACGACGCCCAAAAGCCTGCATCTTTCAGGGCCACGATCTCGCAAGAGCCAAGCAGGACATTCCAGGAGCCCATCAGAAGCTGATATGGCTTGTTTAATTTCCAGGATGTCCCGCTTAAAATGGGCCGGTTGAGGGGTATGTATGTTGGCAAAGTTTCTCCGCAATGTTGACTGTTTCACAAAAGGTGAAAATTGGAGGGTGGGGCAGTGGGAAGACCTGACATCTTGGAGATATTCTCTGCTGTGGAAAGGGAGGAAAAATCTTACCATACACTCCTATACAGGAAGAGAGAGAGAGGACTGATCCACACAATATGATTAAAGCTTCCAGTTCCTTCACCAGGGGATTTAAAGATACAGATACTTAGGATTTTGTTATGCCATCTCCACTTTACCTGATGAAGGGCCTGATAGGGCTGAAATGTGTAGGATTATAAACTTTTGGATATTAAACTGTTTCTCTCTCTATAAATCTCTTTTTAGAAGATAGCCTTGAAGATTTCTAATGCAGAAAGACTGGAAATCTAAGTCTAATGTTAAACAACAGTATGAAATTTTGTTACTTTTTATTAGATTTTTTTGTGATCGTATTTTTTGTAATTGTAAGCTTTTAAAATTGTTTTTAGTATTGTGTCTTAGATTGTAACCCATCCTGGCACTTTAGGAGGAAGGGCAGGTAATAAATTAAAAGAACAACAATAATTCCCGCCCTCTCATTTCGCCTGGATTTCCCTTTTGCTGCAAGGACAGAGGAACAGCAGCAAAAAAATGAAAATAAAACAAAGACCCTCCTGTCTCCTCTCCATCCCCCTCACCCCAGGTCTGCTGTCCCAGGTATGTGGCATCTCACATCTAGCAGGCCTTCGGGCGGAGGGTCTCTGGCTCTCCAGAGAAATGGAAAAATTTATGGCCTCTGCTTTTTTGTTCCATGGGGTGGTGTTTATGTCCGGAATCTGGGCTGATAAGGGGAAGGGAGAACAGAGCCGGCACACAAACTCACTCTGGAATGAAGAGGCTAGGCTCAGCCGGACTGAATGGACTGTGAACAAAAGCTCGGGTTTTTTTGCAGTTTGGAAGGGGAGCCGCTTCTTGGCAGGAGTAAAAGGTACACAAAGAGAAATTGAAGTGACATCAAGATCCACCACCATGCCTCCAAAAAGTGCTTGAAAGCTTTAGCTGTTCCAGAATGTGACGTCCAGGCTGCTAACTGGGTCCGGTTACAGGGAGCATGTTACTCCCCTGTGAAAACCAGCTTGTTGCTGGTTTAATTTTTCTGAATGTTTTAATGTGTGTTTTTTCCTGAAAATGTCGTTTTCTTCTATTTGTAAATCACTTTGAGGTTTCTTACAATCAAGCAGTGTATGAATTTATTATAATTTATAATATTATTATATTATATTATATTATATTATTATATTATTATATTATATTATATTATATTATATTATATTATATTATATTATATTATATTATATTATATTATATTATATTATATTATATTATATTATATTATTATACAAGCTTCTTCAACCTTGGCCCTCCAAATGTTTTGAGACTACAATTCCCATCCTCCCTGACCACTGGTCCTGCTAGCTAGGGAGCATGGTGGGAGTTGTAGGCCAAAAACATCTGGAGGGCTGAGGTTGAGGAAGCCTGCTAATATAATATAATATAATATAATATAATATAATATAATATAATATAATATAATAATGGTATCTCAGTTTTCAAACGTGCCTTGGAAGTTGAACATACCACGTGGCTTCCGTATTGAGTTTTCTGTATTGACCTTTCCGGTTTGAGGCTTCCATTTTGAGTTTTTGGTTTTTGAACATTTTGGAACTCAAACAGTCTTCTGGAATGGATTACCTTCGAAAACCGAGGTACCACTGATTAATATAATATAATATAATATAATATAATATAATATAATATAATAATAACATTTACTGCATAATCTCTGGGCAGTAGGATCCTCTGTGCATAAGATCAACATTTTCTGACAATCTTGATCTAATTTTTAATCCCCCTCTCCTTTTGATTTTAGAAGTTCCTTAGAAAATATGGCTACTTTGGGTCCATGCACCGAGGGTTGGATCCAGCTGAATTCTCAGAGGCCATTAGGTAAGTGTGGCGGCTGTCCTGTGGCTGCCACCATTGTCAATCTGGCCTTGTCCCAAGTTTGTCAATGTGGGATGGAGCATGCAGAGACAGATCCTTCTTCCTTCTTCCATTTTACTTATATGTCCAGGGCTAGCCAACGAGGTGCCCACCAGAAGTTGTGGACTACAAGGCCCATTGTCCCTGGCCATTGACCATGCTGACTGGGGCTGATGGGAGTCGAGCAACATTAGGAGGCCTACAGGTTCCTGCAGTGCGGCATCTAATGATGTTGAAAGGTCTGAGGGCATGAGGGCACCACCTCGCCCATGAGTTCTAGTGTTATGAAAGAGAGGAGCTTTTCTCCATGAGCATTCTGGAGTTTTGCACTTGTCTAGCTATTGGGATGCATTAGCATTCATGTGTCATCAGTGGGGGGAGCATTGCTGAACAACCCATAAAGCAGAATAAACCCACCACTAGGGCACTATTATTGCGTTAAGGCCTTGTTGCAGAACACGCCCACAATAAAACGCCTGTCTGGAGGGGTCCATAAATTAACACGTGCACATTTTATTAAAGCGTCGTCTCCCTGCTTGCTCTCTCTTAAGACGTGGAGTGAGTGGGCTGCCTCGGGAGGACAGTGCCAGGCAGATTCTGGAGGCCTGCATGTTAATTTTACTTCAACTACTTTAAGACATTCTGCTTTAAGACAGCTGCGTTGGAATCGCAGCTCCCCCAACTCTCAAGCCTTGCCCGTAAAACCCAACCCATTCTGCTCAGCCTTGCTGCTCTCTCTCTCATTCGGAGCACAGAGTGAGGCCTCTGCTCTGTCGTTTTCCCTTGTATGGGCCTAGCCTCCTGTGGAGGACAAGATCTGTACAAACGTTGCAATTCGGGCCCGGCTGGAAGATTCCAGAAATGCCATTGCTGCATTCTGGACTCCAGCCATCTTCAAACACTCCTTCTGAGAATTTATTATTATTATTATTATTTAAATTTTCTCCCTCCGCCCTTATCCCACTGTCGCCGCCAAAGCCCACTATTGAAAGTACTTCCCTGTTCAAAAAACAAATGCCATAAAGTTACATTGCGTGTTTCAATCATATGACGCCACTGCTTTATGGCAGGGTGAAGGGGACAGTGAGGTGTAGTGGTTAGAGCACTGGACTAGGGTCTGGGGGGGGGCAGACCAGGGTTCCAGTCCTGGTTCAGCCATGAAGCTCAGCTGGGTGACCAGGGGGCCAATCCCTGCCTCTCAGCTTAACCTACCTCTCAGGGTTGTTGTGGGGAAGGGGATAAACAGGTGCACACCACCTTGAGCTGCTTGGAAGAAAAGGTGTGATATACGGTAAATGTAATAAATAAACAAATTTTGCACCTGGGCTGCCAAGCAGCCAAGAACCTGGGACCTTTTGCATTCAGAGGGTCGCCTCTGTTACTACAACTCTTCCCCAAAAAATTAGGCAAGATTCTAGTCCTCATGGATGTGAATAAAAGGCTAGTTTAAATGGGAACATGGGAAGCTGTCTTATCCAGAGTCAGACCACAGGTCCATCCAGCTCAGGATTGTCCACACTGACTGGCCAGCTGCCCTCCAGGAATTCAGACACGAGTCCCTCCCAGTCCTCCCTGGAGATGGCATTGGGGATTGAACCCGGCGCCGTCTGCATGCAAAGGAGATGCTCTACTGCTGAGCTAGGGCCCATCCTTCAAGGTACAGCCCTCGGTTCCTCAGGGGAACTTGTGGCCTCTTGCATCCCAGGTGATAATCAGACATAGGCCACACACAACCCATACATTTAAAGCACATGACTTCTTCCCCCAAAGAATCTTGGGAACTGCAGTTTGTGATGACTGCTGGGATTGTAGTTTGGTGAGGAGAAAGCTACTGTGTCCAGGACTCTCCTGGGGAAGCCATATGACGCGGATCTCAACCTAGAGACCTAGACCAACGAGCATCATCCGCCAACCAAGTCCTCCTCTCTTGCAGGGAATTCCAGTGGGTGTACCACCTGCCCCCCAGCGGTGCCCTCGACGCCTCCACCATCCGCCACATGAGCCTCCCCCGATGCGGCGTGAATGACCTAGACAGCCGATCCGCATGGAAGGACCGGGTGGATTCGATGCTTTTGGGAAGGGCGGTCAGGAGGAGGCGCCGGAAACGGTTCTCTCATCAGAGTAAGTCTTTCTGGGGCTTTCCTCTGAGCACTTTCTCCCTCTCAGTGCCCCTCCTTTCTCGCTCCCGTGCCACAGCCTCTGGTGTGGTGCAGCTTGCCTTCTCTTTTGCTCCCGTATCCCACCCCGACTTCTTGCAAATCCAGGATTGTGATGCAGCACTACAAATCCTCCAGTGATGGGGCTGCGTGACGACAGCCTTACATTCATATGTACATAGGAAGATAGTGAAAATGTCCTGCTGGTGGCCAATGTCACCAGACTTCACTGTCCCTCCTATGGGACCAGGAGTATTCAGTGGCTGAGTGTGCTCAACTGTGTTAGGCTGCAGGGTCAGAGCTATTGCAGTCCTTTGGGGAAGGGCTGTGGCTGAGTGACAGCATCTGCTTTGCATGCAGAAGGTTCCGTTCCGGACAGCATCTCCAAGCAGGGCTGGGATTATTTTGTGCGTGAGAAACCTGGCCAGCTGCTGCCAGTCAGTGCAGACAATGCTGAGCTGGATGGACCAATGGTCTGGTTCACTCTAACGCAGTGGTTCCCAACCTTTTTTTGGCCATGCCCCACCTAAGCATCTTTAAAATCCTGATGCCCCCCTCCCCGTGACATATAATTCTTATTATTCAAAAACTAAACTCCTATGCACATGATAAAAGGTAAAGGTAAAGGTCCCCTGGCAGTTAACTTCAGTCACAAATGACTCTGGGATTGCGGCGCTCATCTCGCTTTACTGGCCGAGGGAGCCAGCGTTTGTCTGCAGACAGTTTTTCTGGGTCATGTGGCTAGCATGACTAAGCCGCTTCAGGCGAAACCAGAGCAGCGCATGCAAACGCCGTTTACCTTCCCGCCGGAGCAGTACCTATTTATCTACTTGCACTTTAACATGCTTTCAAACTGCTAGGTTGGCAGGAGCAGGGACCAAGCAATGGGAGCTCACCCCGACACAGGGATTTGAACCGCCGACCTTCCAATTGGCAAGCCCTAGGCTCAGTGGTTTAGAAAGCCTAAAAAGCCATTAACTGGTCTAAAGCTTCCAAATTGCTCCCCTTAAAAATCAAATTGCCCCACATTGGGAACCACGGCTCTAAGGCAACTTGCTGTGGTCTCTACAGATTCTCAGTTAGAGTAGCTGCTTACCCACTGCCAAAAATTAAGAACTGCATCACTCCCAGAAAGAAGTCAACCAAGTTTGTATCACATATTGCTAGATTTTTAAACAGTACTTACAGATGCAGAATTAGAAGTGATGACTATCATTTAAATAAAAATACATCTCATAGCAGTGGAAGATTTGTTGTTGTTTAGTCGTTTTGTCATGTCCGACTCTTCGTGACCCCATGGACCAGAGTACGCCAGGCACTTCTGTCTTCCACTGCCTCCCGCAGTTTGGTCAGACTCATGTTTGTAGCTTCGAAGACACTATCCAACCATCTCGTCCTCTGTCATCCCCTTCTCCTTGTGCCCTCCATCTTTCCCAACATCAGGGTCTTTTCCAGGGAGTCTTCTCTTCTCATGAAGTGGCCAAAGTATTGGAGCCTCAGCTTCACGATCTGGCCTTCCAGTGAGCACTCAGGGCTGATTTCCTTCAGAATGGTTTGATCTTCTTGCAGTCCATGGGACTCTCAAGAGTCTCCCCCAGCACCATAATTCAAAAGCATCAATTCTTTGGTGATCAGCCTTCTTTATGGTCCAGCTCTCACTTCCATACATCACTACTGGGAAAACCATAGCTTTTACTATACGGACCTTTGTTGGCAAGGTGATGTCTCTACTTTTTAAGAAGCTGTCTAGGTTGGTCATTGCTTTCCTCCCAAGAAGCAGGCGTCTCTTAATTTCGTGGCTGCTGTCACCATCTGCAGTGATCATGGAGCCCAAGAAAGTAAAATCTCTCACTGCCTCCATTTCTTCCCCTTCTATTTGCCAGGAGGTGATGGGACCAGTGGCCATGATCTTCGTTTTTTTGATGTTGAGCTTCAGACCATATTTTGCGCTCTCCTCTTTCACCCCCAATAAAAGGTTCTTTAATTCCTCCTCACTTTCTGCCATCAAGGTTGTGTCATCTGCATATCTGAGGTTGTTGATATTTCTTCCAGCAATCTTAATTCCGGCTAGGGATTCATCCAGCTCAGCCTTTCGCATGATGAATTCTGCATATAAGTTAAATAACCAGGGAGACAATATACAGCCTTGTCGTACTCCTTTCCCAATTTTGAACCAATCAGTTGTTCCATATCCAGTTCTAACTGTAGCTTCTTGTCCTACATAGAGATTTCTCAGGAGACAGATGAGGTGATCAGGCACTCCCATTTCTTTAAGAACTTGCCATAGTTTGCTGTGGTCGACACAGTCAAAGGCTTTTGCATAGTCAATGAAGCAGAAGTAGATGTCTTTCTGGAACTCTCTAGCTTTCTCCATAATCCAGCGCGTTTGCAATTTGGTCTCTGGTTCCTCTGCCTCTTCTAAATCCAGCTTGCACTTCTGGGAGTTCTCGGTCCACATACTGCTTGAGCCTTCCTTGTAGAATTTTAAGCATAACCTTGCTAGCGTGTGAAATGAGTGCAATTGTGCAGTAGTTGGAGCATTCTTTAGCACTGCCCTTCTTTGGGATTGGGATGTAGACTGATCTTCTCCAATCCTCTGGCCACTGCTGAGTTTTCCAAACTTGCTGGCATATTGAGTGTAGCACCTTAACAGCATCATCTTTTAAAATTTTAAATAGTTCAGCTGGAATACCATCACTTCCACTGGCCTTGTTATTTGCAGTGCTTTCTAAGGCCCATTTGACTTCACTCTCCAGGATGTCTGGCTCAAGGTCAGCAACCCCACTACCTGGGGTGTACGAGACATCCATATCTTTCTGGTATAATTCCTCTGTGTATTCTTGCCACCTCTTCTTGATGTCTTCTGCTTCTGTTAGGTCCTTACCACTTTTGTCCTTTATTATGGCAATCTTTGAACGAAATGTTCCTTTCATATCTCCAATTTTCTTGAACAGATCTCTGGTTCTTCCCATTCTGTTGTTTTCCTCTATTTCTTTGCATTGCTCGTTTAAGAAGGCCTTCTTATCTCTCCTTGCTATTTTTTGGAAATCTGCATTCAATTTCCTGTATCTTTCTGTATCTCCCTCGCATTTTGCTTGCCTTCTCTCCCCCGCTATTTGTAAGGCCTCATTGGACAGCCACTTTGCTTTCTTGCATTTCCTTTTCATTGGGATTGTTTTCGTTGCTGCCTCCTGTATAATGTTGCGAGCCTCCATCCATAGTTCTTCAGGCACTCTGTCCAGCAAATCTAAATCCTTAAACCTGTTCCTCACTTCCACTGTGTATTCATAAGGGATTTGATTTAGATTGTATCTTACTGGCCCAGTGGTTTTTCCTACTTTCTTCAGTTTAAGCTTGAATTTTGCTATAAGAAGCTGATGATCTGAGCCAGTGGAAGATAGTGACCAGGAAAGCTGTGTGTCTGCACAATTTGATGTCCAGGCACCGTTGATGGGTGACTTCAAGGCCCTGGATACTCTCCCTTGGTCACTCCTGGAGCTTCCTGCCCCCCAGCAGAGCAGTTTAAGGAAGCCTCTCTGCCCCTCCTGCTCGTGTGAGCCAGAGTGGTGTGGGGGCTTGCTCAACTGGAGGGCTGGGCAATGTCTCTCGCCTGCTTATTTCTCCCCTAAGGTGGGAAGGAAGAAGTAGCCAAGATACATTCCAGACATTGTGGTATATCAGTATATTGCGATATTTAGCTGCTGATATATCATGGTGTTGAAAAGCAGATATCACCCAGCCCTGTTGTCAAGCAGGACACCTTGCCATGCTAATCCTTGCTAAGCTTGGCAGGTGGGAAAGAATGGCCAGGGGAGACCATCTTATAGACCAGGCAGATTCATCAGTCTTCTGGGCATTCTGGTTCTTCTGAACCATTTAGGATGTCATAGTTCACAGCCAGCACTTTGCACCATGAAAGCTGCAGGCAGGATCTTGTTTTTAGGAGCAGTTAAAGTAAGCTCTGAACAATATTCTTGTGCATTGGGAAAATCCAGGTGCTGGGACTGAACTTTCCCTGTTGACCAGATCCCCTGCCTGGAGATCTTTCCTAGACAGCCGAATGAGCAGCTGTGCTTTCGGCCAGCCGTGGGAAATGTAAAATGGGGAGATTAGGCAATTGCTCTAGGAGGCCTCAAACTGTGCCTGACAAGGCAGCATCTGTTCTTGACGGCAGGGGAAGAAAAAGCCAGGACTCTGCGGCCCAGTTTGCCTCTGTGTTGTTTTCACATGTCTGTCCTTTCTGACATGAAGCAGACCACTCTGTTGGCACGACTCCCACATTCTTGCACCCTTCTGCAATTAAGCCTAACTATATGTCAGTGGGATAGCGCTGTGTAATGTAGCAACAACTTGGGTGACTGACAGCTTGGCACTTAATGCAAAAGAATGTAAGAAGACCCCTGCAGTTGGATCAGACCAAAAGTCCGGCACTCTGGTCTCCCAGTGGTCAACCACGTGCCCCAATGGGCAGGGCGAGTCTGATGGGTGTTTGTTTTGATTCAGGAGTAAACAGCAGGTTTTCCGGGGGCCTAGAAATCACAGGACAAACAGAAGAGTTTTGCACCAGAAGGACCCTCTGGACCAGACCCATCTTAGCTCCATCTTAACTACTTCTCCACTGCCCTCCAACTCGCTCCTGCAAAGAAACACACCTGGGATTGGATTGGGATTTAGAAATATGTGTATCTTCCCTCTGGGAACATGACTACAGCTTGAATCCATTCCAGGGATCCTCGAGGGCAGCGCTCAGATGTTTGAGTCATGTTTCAAGAACGGAATTTAATCACTGCAATTGCTTTGGGGGGAGTTAAAACAGGTTTGCACCACGCCCAGGGTTAGGTGTGACTTTTCAGCCCTGCTGCGGGTTGCAATGGGAGATGGGAGATTGGGGGGGGGCGCACAGAAAGTCAGGAGGCCACAACAATTGTTTGCTAGCCTGCATTAGTCATTTGAGGCTGGGGGCGGGGAGGACATGTTTATGTTTACCATTTTATAAGTCTTCCAGCCCAGTCACCTAGAGACATTTTTTAATCGCCGCAGGAGAGTGCCTGATTACATGACTTGACAAGAATCAGGCTTTTGACAGGCACTGTGTCCGAGGGAATATTTTGAAAACCTTGATATTAAGTTTATCAGCATGGAGTTTTTATTCCTTCCCAGAAAGTAAAATTCTATGATTCTATGATTCTCAGTAAGAAGAGAGTTATTTGTTTACTGGTTCTGTTAAAAAGACAAGCAATCTTTGCATATTATTATATGCATGTGCACTGTAACCAGCACATAAACAGATAAATGATAATGATAATATTATTTAATTCCCTCCCAGCCCCAATCGGAGGTATTCTAGGTTCCCTTGACATCTGCCTCAATAGTTCTTGTGAGCTCATTGTTTATCCTGTATCCTAGCAGGAAGCCAGCCCTCCCCCCCAACAGAGAGGAAACATTTTTGTAAGAGGTTTTCAAGCTAAAAGAAAATTTTCTTGTCTCTTTGTATGGAGTTAGGAGGGGAGAGAAGTCTTGTTCAGTTCACATTTAAAAGGGAACCTACCTGATTTTGCCATTTCCAAAACAACACGCAAACCGAAACACAGCCGTGCACACTCCTCCGAATTTTGCAGTGCAGTTCTGCCGCTGAGTAATGGGTAGGGGGAAATGAAGATCTTAGGGTACAAGGTGCATAAAAATGCAGATATTAGTGAAAACAATGCTCAAAAATTCATTAGATCAGGCAAAACTGCCTTGCAGAAATGTGTGTGTTAGGATACATTGAATACAAACTTGTGTATATTAGGAGGAATTGGCACTAAAATGCTGGTGGATTTTCATAAGGACTTCAAATGAGCCTTAGGAAGAACTTTGTGACAGTAAGAGCTGTTTGACAGTGGAGTGGATTCCCTTGGAAGGCACTGAACTCTCCTTCGTAGGAGATTTTAAAGCAGAGCTTGGATGGCCACGTGTCAGGTACAGTGGTACCTCGGGTTAAGTACTTAATTCGTTCCGGAGGTCCGTTCTTAACCTGAAACTGTTCTTAACCTGATGCACCACTTTAGCTAATGGGGCCTCCTGCCTCCGCCGCGCTGCCGGAGCACAACTTCTGTTCTCATCCTGAAGCAAAGTTCTTAACCCGAGGTACTATTTCTGGGTTAGCAGAGTCTGTAACCTAAAGTGTATGTAACCTGAAGTGTATGTAACCCAAGGTACCACTGTATTCTTGAGCTGTGATTCCTGCATTGCAGGAGGATTGAGATGACCCTTTGGGTACCTTCCGCCTCCTCCCATCTATGACTCTGTCTCTTCCTTTTCATAGGTGGCAAATGGTACAAGCGACACCTGACTTACCGAGTGGTGAACTGGCCCCGGTACTTACCTGAGCATCAGGTGCGCCAGGCAGTGAAAGCAGCCTTTGAGCTCTGGAGCAATGTCTCCTCTTTGGTTTTCTGGGAGGCTGCGGGGGATCCCGCCGACATCCGCCTGACCTTCTTCCACGGGGACCACAACGATGGTGTGGACAATGCCTTTGATGGACCAGGTACTCCTGTCCTCCCTTTGTAAGCCCTTGGAAAAGGGATGGCAAAGCCCTGACTTGCCAGGTGTTGCCGGGCTCCTAACGTCCATAACTCTTTGTTGCTGGCCAGGCTGGCTGATGCTGGTAGGAGTTGGGAGTCCCACAACATCCAGAGAGCTGCAAGTCTCCCACCCATGCCTTGTGGAAGGGCAATGGCCCAATAGTGGAATAGTCCCAGGTTCAATCCCTGATAGCATCTCCAGGTTCAGTCGTACCTTGGAAGTCGAAGAGCTTAGTTTCCAAACGTTTTGGCTCCCAAACATTGCAAACCCGGAAGTGACTGTTTCAGTTTGCGAACTATTTTTGGAAGCTGAATGTCCAACGGGGCTTCTGCAGCTTCCGATTGGCTGCAGGAGCTTCCTGCAGCCAATCAGAAGCCGTGTTCTGGTTTTTGAACGTTTTGGAAGGTGAACGGACTTTCAGAATAGATTCTGTTTGACTTCCAAGGCACAACTGTACTTCCAAGTGTTTTGCCATTCCTCAGCAGGAAGGTTGATGTCAGGGGTTCAGGGAGAGAGGCACAGATGAGGGAGGAGACTGAGAGCGAGGGGGAAGAATCCCGGAACGAGGAGGAGGAGGATGACAATGACTTGAGGGTTTCCATGAGTCTTTCAAGTGAATCGGAGGATTCCCAAAAGGGGGTGCCCCTGGTCAGGCCAAGGGGAGCCACAGGGGGGACTCGTCAGGAGCAGGGGAGCAGCAGGGAAACCCCGAGTGGGAGTTGGAGATCGGGGCCGGCTTCCCCGCCGGAACGGAGTGAAGAGGGTGGAGTTCCCAGTGTGACAGATGAAGCAGAGCAGGAAGCAGAGAGGGGAAGGAGATCGGGGCAAGACGTCCTGCCGGAAGGGGCGGAGAGTAGTACAGAGAGTAGTGTAACTGTCAAAAGGAAGGTCAGGGGTAGCGAACGCGCGCCAAGTTCAAATGTGGAGGCGCGCGGAAATGCGGAGAGCCCGGAGGAGGAGCCTGGTCCCAAAGCACGGAGGAGGGGGGAACAGGCGTCTGGGGACTCAGCGTCAGGGGAGAGCAGGAGGGAAGGAGCCCAGGGGGGCAGAAAGACCCTGCGGAAAAGGAAGGACAGGAAGAGGTGGACCAGCACAAGCCTCTTAAACTGGTGTAGAGGCGGGACTGATTCAGAGGGGACTTCAGCGGTCTAAGCGTAACAGACGTGGGGACAAACAATGTGCTTCAATAAAGACTTTTGTAAATAAAGTGGACTTGGCGTTGGTCTCTTGTGAGCTGGGACCTGAGGCGGCCCTGACAGTTTGGTTTGGGGCTTTGGTGAAATGGGTATTTTGCAGTGTCTACGACAGTTAACCAGATTTCCAAATATGCCTCTGAACCCCCCCAAAAAAGGTTAGGGACCACGGATCGTGTTTTTTTACAGTTGTACTGTTTGAGTGTTCAAAAACAACAGCGCACAAACAAGACAACAAAGAAATGAATTGTGCATGAATAAAAGAAACAGAAAGCTCAATTCACTTTTACAGGGATCATAATAAAATAGATTCCTATAAGGGATGTTTTGAATGTAAGATTCACAGGTTGATAAAGTAGCCTCGCCACAGAGAGGCATGTGAAGTGCAGTGTGCTAGTTTTATTTACAAAGCACGTTGACGGAGATCATACAACATCAACATGGTCTTGTTTTGAAATCTCTGTTAGAACCCTCTGTGGTGGACTCCCCTTCACTGGAAGTTTTTGAGCAGAGGTTGTATGGCCATACATCGGGGATTCTTCAGCTATGATTCCTGCATTGCAGGGGTTGGACTAGATGACCCTTGGGGCCCCGCCTGATCCTAAAATTCTTTGATCCCATTAAATGCTCAGGCAAGGCATTCCCCCACACCCTCCCAAGCCACCCATGCCTAGAGGGACCCAATGCAAACTTCCAGTGTTTAGCAGTTTTGAGTCTGACTGCAGCTTCTTGTGAGGAATGGCAGGATTTGAGTCGATTTCATTGGCCAGGAGAACTACCACAGGGTCCAGGGTTCGAGATTGCTTCACTTTTTAAACATGATTTTTGGCATGATTAGTTTAATCCATGCCTTGCATGGTCTCTGTAGAAAATGAAGGGTGGTTTACGAGTATTTTTGATAAACAGAAGGAATCCTTCGGTCTCCAGAAAGACGAGTCCCAGAAAAGAGGACTCCTTGTCTTTTAATGTGTGGATGAGACCCCTGAGCTTGGGAGGTCTAATGGCGTCTCCTCTCTCACCCCCAGGGGGCGCCCTGGCACATGCCTTCTTCCCCCGCCGGGGCGAGGCTCACTTCGACAACGACGAGAGGTGGTCGCTAGACAGCGGGAAGGGGCGCAACCTCTTTGTGGTGGTGGCGCATGAAATTGGCCACACGCTGGGCCTGGAGCACTCCCCTGTGCGCAGTGCCCTCATGTCCCCTTACTACAAGAAGCTGGGCAAGGATTTTGTCCTGAACTGGGATGACATCCTGTCCGTCCAGAACTTATACGGTAAATGTGGCTCGCTTGTGATTTATTGTTATTTTATTGTCTTTGAATCTCACCTCTTCATCCAAGGAACTCAAGGTGGCGTACATAATTCTCTCCCCTCATTTAATCCCCACGACAAGCATGAGAGGTAGACCAGGTCATAGCCAGTGAACTTTATGGTCAAGTGGGCGATTTGAACCCTGGTCTCTCCCAGGTCCTAGTCTCACACACTAACCACTACACCCCACTGGCTCTCACCACTAGCACATCCTGTGCCTGTTTTCTTAAGGAGGAGGAGCACAGATCCATGGTTTCTTAAGCGGGATGATGCTGAACTGCTGTAAACTAGGGATTGTTTGACAGTCGCACCAATTGCCCTGGATGGTGGTGGGTTCTCAATCCAAAACTGTATGGATATACGTATATCATTTTCCACACCTTTGTTAGGGGTTTTTAAGCAGAGGCTGGATGATTACCTAGCAGGGAAATTGCGGCAAATAGATTTAGGTGGTTGGAAAGGATGAGCTTTGAGGTCCTTTCCAACTGTTTGAATCATATGAATGGGGATGGGAACTAGGGATGCTTGAATCTGGCAGTTTTTGTCTCTCTCTGGCCACCTTCGTCCCATACATTTAAAGCACTTCAAACAGTCATGGCTTCTCCTAAAGAATTCTGGGAGCTGTAGTTTCTTCAGGGTGTTGAAAGTTGTTAGGAGACTCCATTATTCCCCTCCCAGAACTACAATTCCCAGAGTACCCTGTGAAAAATTAAACCACTCTGGGAGTTGTAGCTGGGCGAGGGGAAAAGGCGCAGACAAACAACTCTCAGCACCCTTAGCAAACTTCTCATGATTCTTTGGGGAAACCCATGTGATACTGTGGTGCTGTAAACGTACGGTGGGGGGGGGTGTCCTCAGTTTCTAATTTTTCCATTCATATGTTCATTTCCACAACATTTTGCAGATTTTCTTTTAAAGTCCTAATGAAAAAGCCCCAGCATTTTAGTGCAAAATTTCTGCTAACGCTCACATTCTTGTATGCAATTTTGCCTAATACAGTGGTACCTCGGAATGCGAAAGGGATCCATTCCGGAGCCCCGTTCGCATCCTGAATAGAACACAAGACACGATGGTGCATCTGCACGGGTTGCGTTTTGTCGCTTCCGCGCATGCGCATGTCATTTTGAGCGTCTGCGCATGCGCAAGCAGTGAAACCCGGAAGTAACGGCTCCGTTACTTCTGGGTTGCCACGAAGCGCAACCCGAAAGTGCTCAACCTGAAGCACATTCAACCTGCGATATGACTGTATAGTGCATTTTTATGCTGCTTTCACCAATATATACATTTTTGTATACATTACTAAGAATCATAGAATCAATGAATTCGAAGGGACCCCAAGGGTCATCTATCTCAAACCCCTGCAATGCAGGAATCACAGCAGCTTAGCTGAGAAACTGCATTGCAGAATTCAGAAGAGTGTGGATTATGAAGGATGACTGTGTTTCTTATGCAACTTTGCCTGATATATACACAAAGTGTGCCCTTCGCCCTCTGCTTCGACCCTGACCCACCCTGAGCCTTAAGTCCAGGACAGGTTGCACAGCTAAATGCCTCATATTTGCATGGACCCAGATTTTTAAATTTTATTTCTAGCCTAGCAGTACACTGCTTCGGAACATGGAAGTTTGAAATAGGCAGTGTCCATGAGCACTTTCCAAGAATAGACACTCAAGCCCAGTGACTGTTTTGATGGGACCTTGTGATTTCTTTTTGGCAGGCAAGCCTCCCCGGGGGTCTGTGGTCCAGCTCCCAGGAAAATTATTTGCTCACTTCCAGGACTGGAGCCAGGATCTTGAAGGCACTGAGCACCAGGGCGGTGACCACAGTTCTCATTACTGCTGGTCATTCTTTGATGCCATAACCATGGGTAAGTGCATCAGCTGGAGAATGGGTGCAGGATGGTGGCCAAAAAGCCAAACTTGGACAGTAAAATTCCCTGTGGAGACTGTCCTACTGCATTAGGCACAGCCTTTCAGAGTTGTTTTGATTGGATTAAATACTTTGATTTTTCATTTCTTTTCACCTATGGTAGAATGACCTTTCTGGAGTTTGTGTCTCATCATCATCATCATCATAATTTATTATTTATAGCCTGCCCATCTGGCTGGATTTCCCCAGCCACTCTGGGTGTCTTATTGTGTACCCCACCCTGCTGTCTAAGAAAGATGGTTTTTAAATGCTTAGATAAGGAAGTGTAAATGAATAAAGCTCCTTAACAGGTTCTTCAGCAGACCGTGATCCTAACCCTACTTACTGGGGAGTAAGCCTCATATGTTCAATAGGGCATATTTCTGGGTAAACATGGTTAGGACTGTGCTGTAAGAAACTTTGCACAGACTGCTTTCTGGGGCAGTTTCCTAAGGGAAGCCAAATTCCAATGGATCTCGGGCTACACAAATTATCCCTAAATAAAGTTGTGTGTATGTTGTGTCAGGAGAAGGGCACTTTCATTTTTGTTTCCCTGCATCAGTTTTTCTGTGGAAAACTGCATGGAAAGTGTGTGGGTTTTTTTAACGCAGTATTTTCCATTGTTTGGGATGAAAACATTCCCCAAACAGAGGACTCTGTTGGGAATTTCTGGGGGATAATTTATGCCCTGTTCTGTTTTTAGAATGAGAACACTATAACCACTTCAGTCTTCTTCCCAGGATCCATTTGTGTTGGAGTTTCTTCCACACGTTTCATAATCCTTTTCTACCTAGAAAACAACAAACCCAACCTATAATGGATAACAGGCATGTTTGCTACCTTGCAGATGGCAATATCCAGGAAGGATTATGTTTAAAAGGTAAAGGTACCCCTGCCCGTACGGGCCAGTCTTGCCAGACTCTAGGGTTGTGCGCTCATCTCACTCTAGAGGCCGGGAGCCAGTGCTGTCCGGAGACACTTCCGGGTCACGTGGCCAGCGTGACATCGCTGCTCTGGCGAGCCAGAGCCGCACACGGAAACACCGTTTACCTTCCCGCTAGTAAGCGGTCCCTATTTATCTACTTGCACCCGGGGGTGCTTTCGAACTGCTAGGTTGGCAGGCGCTGGGACCGAACGACAGGAGCGCACCCCGCCGCAGGGATTCGAACCGCCGACCTTTCGATCGGCAAGTCCTAGGTGCTGAGGCTTTAACCCACAGCGCCACCTGCGTCCCAAGGATTATGTTTACTTCTGGGTAAAATCTGCAATTGAAAGTGCACTTGGGGTAGATTCTACTCTCATGACATGATCCACTGGGGCAGATTCTGGGGGTGGGGGTATTTTCAGAATTCCATACAGCTCCCTGCCCCCCCCCCGTTAGCCCAAGTAAATTCCTCAATCCCCTATCAGAGTCCTGTAGTTCTGGTCACCTCATCTCAAAAAGGATGTTTAATGGTTCAGAAAAGGGCAACTGAACTGATCACGACTCCCATGTGAAGAAAGGTTACAGCATTTAGAACTTTTTAGTTTAGAGAAAATGTGAGTAAGAGAACAATAGAAGTTCATACAATTGTGAGAAAGTGGACAGAGAAACGTTTTCCTCCCTCTGTCCAAGTACGAAAAGTTGTGGACACCCCACGAAGCTGAATGCTGGAAGATTCAGGACTGATAAAAGGAAGTCCTTCTTCATAATTAAACTATGGAACTCGCTCCCTCGGAGGGGCAGTGATGGTTTTAAAAAGACGATTGAACAAAGTCATAGAGGATAAATCTATGGGCAGCTATTAGCCAAGATGCCTGTGCCCTTGACTCCACAGCCGGAGGCAGCAGTGCTTCTGAATACCAGTTGCTGGAAACCACAGGAGGGGAGAGGGCTCTTGGGCTCAGGTCTTGCTTGTCGGCTTCCCACAACCATCTGGTTGGCGACTGTAAGAAGATGATGCTGGACTAGATGGGCCAATGGCCTGATCCAGCTGGCTCTTCTTATGTTGCTATATTCCTGCAGGAACCCTAAGTACCTGGGTTTCTGATCTCTCACTCAAAGGCACAGAACCCTCTCACGCACCTTCTCTTTATTTTTGAACAGACCTGGAAGACAATCTCTATATATTCAAAGGCGGCCATTACTGGATTGTATCCAAAGGAGGTAACGCTACTGGTCCAGACTTGCTCCGAGCCATGTGGCCGGGGCTCCCGTCCACCATTGATGCTGCGGCCTTCTCTGAGGAAGATGGGAAGTTCTATTTCTTCAAAGGTAGCTTGACTGGAGTTGTCTGGGAGGTGGGGAGTCCACAGTACAGATCTTAACATCATCCTGGCACTTCCCAATGACCTTAGGAAAGCTCCTCTCTTTGTAAGCCTCCATCTTCCCATCTGTGATTTGACGTAAAAGCAGTGCCCTGCCTTTCGAGAATATGCTAATGATTATTGAAATACCAGAGAAGTTACCAGACGGGCAAGAGGCACTCAGATGGGAGGAGGGGTAAAGTAGGGTTGGTGAAGGTGTGGCCTCTGGAGAATCCTGAGGGCCAGATAGAAAGGCCTAGAGTTACACATTTGGCCTCTGAACCCAAGGTCCGCCATCCCTGCTGTAGTGGTTGGCCAGTATTTATCACACCCACTTTTTTTATTGGGAAGATTGATGCTGAGAGGAGAATCTAGAGCAGTGGTTCCCAATTAGCTTAGTACTGTGTACTTTTTCAAAAGCCAAGCCATGGACCCCCTAATTTTGATATCTCTGTGGTAGTTTTTGTTATGTGAATGGTGCCACGGACCCCCTGGGTGAGTTATGTAGACCCCCCCCCCAGGGTCCGCAGACCACAGGTTGGGAACCACAGATCTAGAGAGCCCACAGCTGAGATTCAAACCAAGGACTTCTGTTTCCAAGCTCAAGTCATCTTACCCCACTGGGCTATATGAATTTAAGTTGTTGTTCAGTCTTGGCACCTGCTCCAAGACTCTAGTCATACACCTGCTTACTCAAAATCAAATTCCCTTTGAATGCCCGAGAATTGGCTTCCCATTAAATCAAATGTGTTTTAGATTTGCGTTGTTAAGATCATAAGGTAAGCCCTGCCGCCATCTCCTGGCTGTTAGCTGAGGTGCAGTCTGGAATTCTAGTATCCGGGACTTAATGAACTTTTATGGGGAGTGTGGCTTAGATAGCCCCAGTGGCGTAGCGTGGGGGGTGCAGGGGGGGCCGGCCGCACCGGGCGCAACATCTGGGGTTAAGGCAAATCCACGGGTTAGGGGGCGCAAATCCACGGGTTAGGGGGCGCAAATTACTTGCCTTGCCCCGGGTGCTGACAACCCACGCTACGCCACTGGATAGCCCAGAGGCATAGGAAGGTCAGGTGGTACCTGGTACGAAAAATTCTTGTCACCCCCACATTAATCCCCCCCCCTGCAAAAATGGTTTTACATTATTTTATATTTTATTGCAAAGGAATGTGGATTCTGGGCCTCTGATAACAAGTAGGTGACTATGGGCAGATACTTAAATCTACAGGATGGATTGTGTTTTGGCTTGTGTTATTTTATTTATATTTATTGTTTGTTTATTTAATAAAATTTATTTTTAAAAACCTGCAAAGTGAACTTTTTATTGAAAATGCCTGCTCCACTGAATTGAAATTTCAGCCTTCACAACATAGGAAAACGGCCAGTTAAACAGCTATTTTCGTGAAGGAGGGTCAAGATATTAACTGATATGCATGAAATTTCATATATAGCTATATAATCCCTAGTGTAGTAAGATAAGACCTTTGGAGCAGGCATTTTCAAAAAAAAGTTTTTTTATGAACCGCCCTAGTAGGGCAGTAATTGTTCCTTGATAATTTGTCACCCGTCTCCATGATGGCACCTGGGGCAGTCCACTCCCCTGGCCCCCTTTTCCTACACCCCTGAGATAGCTATGTGTATTATGTCATTTGTGAAGCATACAATTAACATCTCTCTCTCTCTCTCTCTCTCTCTCTCTCTCTCTCTCTCTCACACACACACACACATATTACCTGCATTCCATACTTCTACATTCATGCTAATACAAAATCTTTTTTTAAAAAAAAACACCTCAGTTTGTCAACCTTGGCAAAAAAGAAAAAAAAGGAAAAGAAAATAAGTCCTCTGAGCATGTGCAGTCTCACATTTTATGTCTACAGGAATAAAAGCAGGCTTTGCTTCATGCTGCCCTGATGGCGTAAGCACACTTAGAAATGTCCCTTTCTGTTGCGGAAAGAACTGTCCTGTTTTTTTAAGTCAAAAGAATAAAAGCAGCACCTGTAACCTTGTACATACCTGGCCAGCCATTGCTAACTAGGAAATGCTTTTATTGAAATCAGAAAGAAAGTGGGGTGTAATAAACGGTGTCAATACTTGCTGGGCTTGATGTTGACACTGGATCAGTTTCCTGCTCTCCCCGTCACCTGACACAGAGCATGGAACGAGCAAAGCTGAACAAAGTTCTTCAGAATAGCCCAAAGATCTCTGACCTTCCCTGAATTCAGTTCCCAGAATTGCCAGGTGAACTGATCGTGAATTAAGTTCATTTTGGGGCAGAACTTTGAATGATTTTTAGTACATCTTCAAGTTCTTTCTCTCTCTCTCTCTCTCTCTCTCTCATCTCTAGGCCAGTGGCTCCTAAAGTATGTGGCACTGCCCCGGGGCAGCGGTGGGATTCCCCAGAGGGGGCTAAGAGGCAATTGCATTTTGAATAAATGTGCAATCAATGGTTACTCTTTTGACATTTATTGTGTTATGGTCTTCCTTGGTGGGTCATGCAAACCACTATTTGGAATAATAATTTTTATACTATAGGGTGGGGCACCCGGGGGAGTGAATTTATGGAACCGAGGGGGTGGTGGCCCCAAAAAGTTTGGGAACCACTGCCCTAGACTCTTTGGACTCTTTTAAACTTAAAGATCGTAAGTCTTGGGGAACATAAATTCAACCTTCCACACTGTGTGTGTTTAGATATTTTCTTAGTCTCCAAAAGTATGTCTTTATACTTCAGCACAGCAGCAGTGGAGGGATAGCTCAGGTGGTAGAGCATGAGGCTCTTAATCTCAGGGTTGTGGGTTTGGGCCCCACATTGGGCAAAAGATTCCTGCATTGCAGGGGGTTGGACTAGATGACCCCTCCTTCCAACTCCACAATTCTCTGATTCTAGCTTCTTGGACTCCAGCTACCGTTGGCCATGCTGGCTGTTGGGGCTGATGGGACCTGGAGTCCAGCACTGCATTTGGAGGGCCACAGCTAGAACCCAGTCCTGCCTAATTAAAAGAACCATAGAATTATAGAGGTGGAAGTGAGCCCAAGGGAATTGCAGGAATCGCAGCTAAAGAATCCCTGAGAGATGGCGATCCAAGCTGTGTCTGAGAACCTCTCCCATGAAGGATAGGCCACCACCTTCCAAGGGAGCCTGTTCCACTGTTGAACTTTTCTTACCACCAGGAAGTCCTGCCCTGCCTCACCCTGCTCTCTGTCTCCCCCTGCAGGTGGCCGATGCTGGCGCTACAAAGGCTCTTCCCTGGACGCCGGCTTCCCCCAGAAGTGCAGCAGCACTGGGGACCTCCCCCGACACCCCGACACAGCGCTCTATTTCCAGCCCCTCCACCATCTGGTTCTTTTCAAAGGTCCCAAATACTACATGGTGAGGGGAGAGTCCCTCCAAGTGGAGCCGTACTACCCCAGGAGCCTGAAAGACTGGGGAGGGGTGCCTGCCATGGCGAACGGCGCTCTCACGCGTCACGACGGCTTCGTTTACTTCTTCCGAAATGACCAGTTCTGGAAATTCAACCCAGATACGCTGAGGGTGGTGGAAAGTGGGAAATGGGCCTCCCAGCTAGGGTGGCTGGGTTGTCAGGATGCGGCCCTCAACCAGGCGGTGGTCTGAGCTTCTGCAGAAATTTCAACGGCTTTCATAACAAACTTCCCAAAGTCCAGAACTCGGTTCAGCGTTTGAGGGTCAGGTGCTTGATGGTGTTGGAAGTTGACCTTTCATTTTGTCGCAAGTGGACTTTTGTTTCTTTTTTAAAGGAGTAAGTGAAGCCTAAGAGAATACCTCTTGATGCAAAAGAAGAAGAAGAAGAAGAGTTTGGATTTGATATCCCGTTTTATCACTACACTAAGGAGTCTCAAAGCGGCTAACAATCTCCTTTCCCTTCCTTCCCCACAACAAACACTCTGTGAGGTGAGTGGGGCTGAGAGACTTCAGAGAAGTGTGACTAGCCCAAGGTCACCCAGCAGCTGCATGTGGAAGAGCGGAGACGCGAACCCGGTTCACCAGATTACGAGTCCACCGCTCTTAACCACTACACCACACTGGCTCTCACAATATCAGAATATCAGGTGCCTGACAAATCATGACATGGAGTGGGCGGGCAATACAGCTTCTTGCGCCACGTTGATTGGAAGAGGACGGGTAGGCATTCTAGCCAATCAAGAAGCATTATAGGGGAGGGGAGGGGCGGTGGGCACTTCCGTTGCCTCTGGTAACTGACTAACCTTATGGCAGAGCTTTCCAAACTGTGCCTTGACACATTAGTGTGTCGGCTGCAGTGTGTAGGTGTGTAGCGTGAACACTCCCCACGCTCCTCCCGGAGCTGGGAAGGGGTTAGTTTGCTAGTAAAACTGAATTACTGCATCACGAAATGATGCATGTCTAAAAAGTGTGTCGCCAGCATGAAAAGTCTGGAAAGCTCTGCCGTATGGAGGCCAATCTTCCTTTAACAGCTGCCCACACCCCATTCAACTTCAAGCCGTCTGTTCTTCTGTCTTCCATCTTTGTCCCAAAGCTGGTTACTGTGGAGTGGACAAAAACAGGGGGAACGTCTCTTAAGAACCTGTCAAGGCTCTGCCAAGGCTTTGGGAAAGCTATTCCTCCCCCAGTTGCAGCAACAGCAGAGAAAACAAGGTAGAGTTCTTTTTAATGCGTTTTATTCAATCCAAATAGCGAGAGACAAACGAACGCAATGAGCCTTAACAATGGCGTTGCTCCAAACTGGGCTCCTCCTCCCTCCTTCCTAGCAACAGCACCTTCCCATACGGTGGTCAAATGTCTCTGGTTCCGTTGTTCTTGCTCTCTCAATGAACGTCGCGTTCTGGCAGAAGGGGGATAAGAAATGCTCTCCAGTGACAACATGTCATTTGGCTGCTCCTCTGCAGTCCCCCCCTCCTTCCAATACTACCCAACTTCTCTGTTCGTCCATCTCTGAGCTGTAAAAGGTAAAGGTAAAGGTACCCCTGCCCGTATGGGCCAGTCTTGACAGACTCTGGGGTTGTGCGCCCATCTCACTCTAGAGGCCGGGGGCCAGCGCTGTCCGGAGACACTTCCGGGTCACGTGGCCAGCGTGACATCGCTGCTCTGGCGAGCCAGAGCTGCACATGGAAACGCCGTTTACCTTCCCGCCAGTAAGCGGTCCCTATTTATCTACTTGCACCCAGGGGTGCTTTCGAACTGCTAGGTTGGCAGGCGCTGGGACCGAGCAGTGGGAGCGCACCCTGCCGCGGGGATTCGAACCGCCGACCTTTCGATCGGCAAGCCCTAGGCGTTGAGGCTTTTACCCACAGCACCACCCCTCCCTCAAACTCCTCAAAGCCCTGATGTAATTCAGTGCTGCCTTTCCCCTTTCCTGTGTCAGGAGAATTGGGGGGGGTGATCTCCACTCCTCCTCCTACTCCATCTCCTCCTCTTGAGTCCAATTCCTGACAGAACCTAAGAAGAGCATCCTGCATCAGTCCAGCATCCTGTTATCACATTGGCCAACCAGATGGACCAATGGGAAGCCCACAAGCAGGACCCAATCACAAGAGCACTTTTTAAGGTGAGGCGTCCACCTCACAGTCCTCTCCAGAGGTCATTTCTCCTCCGCAGCTGAGCCTTTGAGGAGTTAGTGAGGACTGAGCATCAATGTAAAGCTTCTCTCGCAGAATCTTGAGCTACTGTGCATCGGCTACTACATCTTCAGGGCGGAACAGGAGCTGTTCATCTGTTACCTCTCCTTGCCTGTTGGCAGTGCCTCTCTTGTGGGTGTTCACATCTCCTTGACCTCCCACCTATAGCAGAACCTTGGCATTATTGCAGTTGGCATTGCTGTAATGTGATTCCATGTGCAAAGGAAGTCTCATTCCCGCTGCAGTCTTGCAACAAATGGGTGAGGAAAGGGCCCAGCAGAAGCGTCACAGCTGAACGCAGCATTGAATCTGAAGCTTCAGCATGAACGCTCAGCCTTCGTTGCCTAGTACCACACTGCCACAAAACTGTTTTCTACCCAGTACCTCATGGGCTTTCTAGCACTTCGCTGCCTTTGGCAGTTCCATCACAGCAACACTTCTGCAGGTGCCTCAGTTTTCAACGTGTGTGCTGAGATTGGCAGAGGGGGCCCTCTTGGTGATTCCTGCACCCTCAGAGGCTCTAGGGGGAAAGAGGGCCTTCTCTGTGGTGGTTCCTAAGCTGTGGTGCACTTTATGCCTTCGTTATACAGCTTTCAGAGGATGCTGAAGACATAGCTCTTTACTCTGGCTTTTGACACTTGAGATGTCTATTTTTACGACTCATTTTATGGTTGTAAGTTTTTAAAATTGTTTTTAATACTGTGTTTGATTGCTGTAACCTGTCTGGGGACATCAGGGTGAAGGATAGGAAATAAATATACAAATAATACCTTCATCCTGAAACCCAAGCTGGACAGTGGTCTTGGCCTATGGTTGAAAAGTAAACAGAGAGGCCTGTGACACTTATAAAAAGGGAATGAGAAACATCTGCGGCCTTCCAGATGTTTTGGAGTCTCAACTCCCACTGACTCCAGCCAGCAGCACCAATGGTCAGGGGTGACATACAGCAACTTACGTAGGGCCACAGTTTCCCCTCATCCCTGCCACAAGCCCTACTCATGAGTAAGTAGAGCATACAAGCAGGGAGAATGGGGATGAGCGCAGCAGCTTGGCCCCCACTCCCAGCTCCCATCAGCCCCCTGGGAGTTGGAGGGCAGCCATCTGCCGCAGAGAGCCTGCCATATCCATGTAGGGCAGAAATTAGCCCTCCAACTCCCAGAGGGCTGCAATAATAAGCACGGTGTAGTGGTGAATTAAGAATGGCATAGTCCATGAAAGTCACAGTCACACCCCCTTCTAAGATGATACAACCCTCTAAGATTATGCAATAATCCTATAATTCTGCAAAAATAGCAACAATCAATGCAGATCTCCGCATATTGCCTTTTAGCTAGGTCTACTATTTTCTGTGCATGGACATGGGCAAATGATTTGGGGTGCTCCAATATTGTTTTTCAGAGTGACTTTTCCTTGAAGTTCCATTGTACGTGACATAATTTGCACCCGATTCTCTTGAAACTGAAACATCCCTTGTGTTTTCAGGATTCCTAAATGCTTAGCTTTGGAGCAAACAGAACAACTCCTCAGTGTTTCCCCCTCACACCTTTCTCAGAGTGACCCCAGGAACCTGTCCTCTGTGACTGACGCACCTCCTTCCACCCTGATTGGCTCCCATCAGCACAAAGAATGAGAAAACGTCTTCTCAGTGGCCAAGAAGGTTCCCTTCCTTGCTGATTGGGTGCCTCTGTGATGCTGGAGAAATACTAAAGGGTCTTCGGCCCCCTGCCAACCCAGTTTGCTGCACCTCTGGTGATAGTGGAGAGGACAAGCATGCCCAATCCTTCCTCTACACATTCTTGTGTTTTATTTACCCATGAACCTAATGCAGGTGTGGGGAGCATCTGTGATCTTCTAGATGTTCCCAAACAGCAGCTCCCACTATCCTTGCTTGCAGGGGCTGATGGGAGATGCAGTTCAGCAACATCTAGAGAGCCCATGGTTCCCCACACACGATCTGAGGCCTTGCTGTTGCTGCATTCATGGTGGTGGCTGCAGCAAGCACCTTCACCCCTCATCTTAAAAAGGGTAAAGGGATCCTGACCATTAGGTCCAGTCGTGACTGACTCTGGGGTTGCGCGCTCATCTCACTCTATAGGCCGAGGGAGCCTGTGTTTGTCCACAGACAGCTTCCGGGTCATGTAGCCAGCATGACTAAGCCACTTCTGGCGAACCAGAGCAGCACACGGAAACGCTGTTTACCTTCCCGCCGGAGCAGTACCTATTTATCTACTTGCACTTTGACGTGCTTTCAAACTGCTAGGTTGGCAGGAGCAGGGACAAAGCAACGGGAGCTCACCCCGTCGCGGGGATTCGAACTGCCAACCTTCTGATTGGCAAGTCCTAGGCTCTGTGGTTTAGACCACAGCACCACCCACGTCCCACCCCTCATCTTAGGATGATAATATTTCATGCTCCTGAAGTGGTGGGCTCCAGGGGTTCCCTAACCACCACCACAACCAACCACACAGTGTTCCTGCTGTGCTTTCTGTTTCTCAGCTGAGGCCTGACTTGCAAGGAGCCCTCCTCGCCATTGCCGGTTCTGCCTCTGCCAAAGGAATGGAAAGGGCTGTTTGCCATCCTTTGTCCTCCATCGTGTTGCAACATGCCAGTTTGTTGACCCTCCTTGACCCTCTATTGACAAGCTGTTCGCTCTGCAGCAACCTGCTTCCTCAGACCGGAAATTTCTCTGCCAGCCAAGCGCATACCAAGCAGTTTTGCAATGGGCTCAGAAACCAGTTTCTCCCTGGCCACAACATTTGATTTATGCAGCCGCAGGACTGCTGTGTGGGCCACTACAGCTTACACCTATAGAGCAGGGCTGAGGAACGTCAGGCCTGGGCGCTGAATGCAGCCTTCATGGACTTCTAGCTAGCCCTCAGGGTGCTTCCCAGGCTGCAACCCTCATCCACACCCTGCTTTGCACCCTCGCTGAGCCAGAATTTGCCCCCATCTGTGATCGCTTGGCTAGATGGGAGATGGAGAGCGGTGTGTATGTCGGACCACATCACCACACCCACCACTGGCATTCAGCCCCCAGGAATTTTCCCAGGAGGTAATGTGGCCCCACAGCCTGAAAAAGATTCCTCAGCTCTGCTATCGAGAAAAGTCTGGCTTCAGGAAGAGGGGGTCGTGTTTGGGAAATCTCTAGATTCAAGTGGGGAGTTGGTGGACCACCCAGTTGATGGCGCATCTCAAGGACAGTGGGGCTCCTGTGACTGGTGTCTACAATTCTGAAGTTGGAAGGGATCCCAACGGTCATCTAGTCCAACCCCCTGCAATGCAGGACTCTCAATTAGATTGCATATGACTTGTCTTGATTATTATCTTCTGGATCCTGTGTATCCTCCAAAGCTTTGCTTTTACTCTCTCATTCATTTAACAACAATCCCCTAGAAGCCAAAACAAGCCACTAAGAAGCAGTGATGTTGAAGGATTTAATCCAAAGCATCCAAGGTCTCTCCCCCCCCACCTTTTAAAAACACAGCTGTGTTAAAACAACCACCATATGAGGTAGACCACACACACACTTACTTACATACATGCACACAGAGAGAACAATTAGTCAGCAGCCAGAGTGAGCTTGCACAGACTTCAATCCTCCTGTACTCACCTCTAGGACCAGCAGACAAGTTGGCCAGCATCGCTTGCGGGCTACCAAGATATTAATCCATTACCCCTCTCACTGCCTCTTTATTTCCTCTTCTGACTCCTCCGGAGCGACAGCCAGGTCTATAGAGTCTGGAAAAAAGAGGACATGCTGTATGACAACCAGCTTGTGATTCAAGTGAACTTGTGTTCTACTTTCATAGGATTGGAGAATTGTAGAGTTGGAAGGGACCCATAACATTCTACGGAAGGAAAAGCAGCAAGGAACTTCCCCCTTGACCCAGACCTATTTCAGGTTGCAGGGAGTGGAATGAGGGTGATGATGTCCCTGCTCCTTCTAACTCTCACCTCCTGTGACCAGACATTTGCCATCACTTCTGGGGCCCCCAGCTGCTGCTATGACGGCAACCGCTGGGCAACTGAGCTACCTGCTGCAGTGGCCCCACCTGCATTCTAGTCCCCAGCAGACTTCCATCCTGGGAGAAGTCTGGAAAGCTGCAGAAAAAGTCTAAAAAGTGAACAGAGTATGTCCCTGCTCCATAGAGAGCTCCCTCGCTAGGGGCCCTGCTAAAGGAAGGTGGGGCATACAATTGGCCAGAAATATCCTGTTGAAAAAAGGCTCTTGCCCTTCTGCTGCTGCTGCTTTGTAGCAGTCATAGAAATTGGTAAAATGTGAACGTTTTCTAGCTCGGACACTACAGGTAGTGCTCCTTTGGTTTGGTCATCTGGGATAGCCTTGGGACCCACCTGGGTGTACCAACCCACAGATTGAAGTCCTATGTTTAAGCAGTAGGAACTGAGTCGCTAACATCTCTGAACACAGTGGTGAACACAGTATTATGAGTCCATTTCATTTCTCACCATTTTCTGATTTTTCCAATCTTAAATTCAGTTGTTTCTGCAGCAATTTGCAATTTTTTCTTTAAAAATACCTCAAAAAACCTACAGCATTTCAGTGTACATTTCTTCTAAAGCTTCTTGCGTGACATTACATTTTTGCAAGTAATTTTTGCATTTTGCATGTTATTTTCACCAATATATTCATTATTATGCACACGTTTCCCTATTACTTGCATTCTCCTTCATTTTGGAGGATCATTGCAAAATTTGGATACATGTGGATTTTGAAGGATGGTCGGATTTCACTTCTCGTACAAATTTGAGAGAGTCTGCTTTAAATGTGAACTGAATTGAATTTCTCCCCTGGTTGTGAGAATGTTGTGGGCTGTTATATTTCTACCCATTGCACAGCCATTAAAGACACTGGGCCTCTATCAGGAAAACAGGGTAGCAGCTCTGGCCTGGGACCATCCCTAATTCACCCGTTGGGAAAGATAGCATTTAGACTCTGCAGCATACTAGTCCTCATTGCGTCTTGCCTGTACTCAGTGCTGGGCTCAAAGCCTCCGGCAGGTTTTCTGTGCTGTGGCCCAGCAGTCCATGTTCAATGAAAGCCCGGCTGTAATGTAACGTCTCGCACTTTTTGCAGAACAGAATCTCGCACTCTGGGCACATCTTGCCGGAGGATCTGTTCCTCTCCAGCTGACTGCAGACGGGTTCCTGCAGGGGCTTGTTCCTAAGAGGCAAAGGAAGGTTTGCAATTAAAATAACTCGAAAGACTTCTTAAAAAGAAAGGCTGGAGCACGCTGGGGCTTTAAAAGGGTGTGCAAATCTGTCATAAAAACTTAAGAGGAGTCCTGCAGCTGGATCAGGCCCATGGCCCATCTAGTCCAGCATCCTCTTCTCACAGTGACCAACCAGATGCTCCAATGGAAAGCCTACAAGCAGCATCCAAGCGCAAGGGCCCTCTCCTGAGCTTAAAACAGTCAACAGCCAAATGAGAAATTTGGGACGGCGTTGACCTTTTCATCTGAGTTCATCTGAGAGCCAGTGTGGTGTAGTGGTTAAGAGCGGTAGTCTCGTAATCTGGGGAACTGGGTTCGCGTCTCCGCTCCTCCACATGCAGCTGCTGGGTGACCTTGGGCCAGTCACACTTCTTTGAAGTCTCTCAGCCTCACTCACCTCACAGAGTGTTTGTTGTAGGGGAGGAAGGGAAAGGAGAATGTTAGCCGCTTTGAGACTCCTGAAGGGGAGTGAAAGACGGGATATCAAATCCAAACTCTTCTTCTAACCCCACCCCATTCTGCCCCCGGGCCTCCAGTTTGTGAAACATTCCATTTCAACTTTACACACATACAGACTCGGTTTTCCTGTCTCTAAAATGGGGAGAATGCAATGCAACTCTTTCACCGCTACGGAGAGGAGATGTTTGCTTTTGAGGAAGGCCTCTGAGCTGCTACCTGTCTGCCAGCCAGGTAAGACCAGAGAGAAGGGGGAAAGAAAACCAGCTCCACAGCCAATTTTCCTGTTTTGGCAGCTGCTCTGTGCTGGGAGACTGAGGGGAATCCACAAGAGCACTAGAGCTGGATCCTTCTGCATCGAGGTCTGGCACATCATCTTCTGCTTCTGGTTCCTGGTGGCATCTCTCCTCTGATTTGCTCTCTTCCTCTTCTGGTCTGGTTTGGGACATCAGATTTTAAACCTGGAGAGAGAGAGAGAGAGAGAGAGAGAGAGAGAGAGAGAGAGAGAGAGCGCAGAGATAACAGTGAGGGCTGGAGACTTCAGTTATGTTATGCCCATTTCAGATCCCATCTCGCAACTCGACACCAAGCAAGCCTATCTGCAAAATATGAGGACAACCCTGATCTACCTCTCAAGGTCATCAAAAGGATTTAGAACGAGATGGTTAGGGTTGCCATATTTCAAACAGTGAGAATTTGAAGTTTTTGAGCTGCTTTTAAGGGAACTCTCACAAAATGACATCGTTGACACAAGTTGCCATAGGTCCGGATTTTCCTGGACGTTTCATCAATTTCCACCCGGACACTGCTTCCAACTACAGTATTCTGGATATGTGTGGGAAATTCCGGACATATGGCGACCCTAGAGATGGTGCATAGGATAAGTGCTTTGAGCACTTAGGAAGTGCAATCTGGATAAATGTGGCCCTCTGGCCTCTTCATCCAGCCCTTGAGACTTGCCTTAGGCCACTCCCACTCTTCCAGGCCACACCCCTCACCGGCACTGCTCTGTGTCCTTGAAAGATTGAAGATAATGGGCCCAGCTAGCTTGGGTCCCTTCCTTTAAATAGGTCTAGTCTCTTGAAGAAATCTTAGTTGGATGCAACCTCCTTTGCTGGTCTGGAGGGAGGTGTGTCCTTATAGAAACCACTGACACGTGCAGTGCTGATGTCACATTTCCCCCCCACTTTTGCCTTTGGAAGGTTTCCCACAAGCGAAAGGGATGCGGGTAGAACTGTGGTCTAAACCACTGAGTCTCTTGGGCTTGCCAATCAGAAGGTCAACGGTTTGAATCTCCATGACAGGGTGAGCTACTGTTGCTCTCTCCCAGCTCCTGCCAACCTAGCATTTCGAAAGCATGCCAGTGCAAGTAGATAAATAGGTACTGCTGTGGTGGGAAGGTAAACGACGTTTCCGTGTGCTCTGGCACTCATCACGGTGTCCCGTTGCACCAGAAGCGGTTTAGTCATGCTGGCCACATGACCCGGAAAGCTGTCTGTGGACAAACACCGGCTCCTTTGGCCTGAAAGCAAGATGAGCGCCGCAACCCCATAGTCGCCTTTGACTGGACTTAACCGTCCAGGGGTCCTTTACCTTTTTACCTTTTACCTTTTCCACATACAGACACTCACACGCCCCTCACACAGTTCAAGGATGCAGTCAGGTAAAAGCAGGCAGTGAAACATCCTGTGTGGCCAGGAGAGAATTTAAGGGGTGCGGGGTGCAGATCAAGAGCCCAGCAAGGCTGAATTCAGCCTGAGGTTTTCCACTCCTGCCTTCAAAGTTAGGATTCTCTTGCGAATGTCTGCAGTCTTAGCTGGGGAGAAAGATGTGTCCCAGCCCTCAGACATTTTTGTCTAACTAACACCTACCAGTGAAAAAGATGAGGGAAGTGGTGAGTTTTACTGAATGATCCACTGAACCTGTGGGCTGTTCTCTCCCAGACGCCACCCCTTCGAGAGGGCTGTGTCATGGCAAAGCAACCTCAGTCCATTGTGACATCACATAGCTTCTCCGGGCAAGTTCTAGAGAGGCTGTGCTGTCCGGCAGATACGAGGCTAAGGTTCTTCACTTCCCTGGGGAGTGAGGAAGGTGTGAGAAGCAGTCAATGTTCGCTTACTTGTCCAATGTCCAGAACAGAAATCAATCCAGCGAACAGAATCAATATATGCTGTTATGAGGTTTTTTGCATGGAGGGCTAGGATGAATGCTTGGGCCCCCTTCTAATTCTTGGGATAGCCAGGATAATTTCCTGGAGAGGCGATATCCGAGATAATGGACCATTAAGGGAACAAAGGAAGTGGCTCTGTGCCAGAGAAAAATGGGTGGGGCCCCTCCTTCAACTGGCTTTTAGTTAGAAATACAAAAGGGCAGAGTGGAGAGTTGAGTTATGTGAGCTAGAAGCTAGAAGTGGAAAAGCAACAGGCTGGGAAGTCAGAGAGGGTGATGTTTGGTTTCTGCTTGAATCCAAGGCTGTGGCTATGGAAGAAGCAAGACCCTTTTGGGGTGTTGATGCTGTCACCCCCTCCACCGTAGCCTCAGGTTGTATATATGTGTAAATAAACCATATGCCATAAAGACACCACAGTCTCTGCTGTCCCTCATTCCAAAGGAAACACAAACCCTGGGTGAGCACCTGGAATCTCCCACCACTCTGAGATTGGGGTGGCTTGCAACAATATGCTTACTGGTTTTTGAAAACACAACTGTAAAAAGTCAATAGGCTGTACAGATCAATAAAAGGGGGGTGGAACAGTAACTGTGGCTGAGTGAAACGCAGAGCTTGTTTATGACATCTTCAGTATTAAGAAATAAATACAGAGCAATGGGTCAGAGTTTTCAGCATAGTGAAATCGTATTGTGGGCCATTAAAAATGCAATGGATATTCGCTAGTGGTGTAGCTTTCAGTCTGCAAACATTTTTCTCCATTTGTGCACCCCCTTTGCATTCAAAATTGAGATAATGACATTTGCAGTCATGTAATTTCACCATTTCCGAAGACGAATTGCAGCAGAAAAGATTCAGTGTGGCATGTAGCAACTGGAAAACACTCTCCCTACATCCATACTCTCAGGTAATAGCTGCTGTGTTTCTGAAGGGAAGCGTGTGTCACTCAGACCTCCTCTGTCCCAGAAGCCCCTTGCCTGAGTTTCACACACACACACACACACACACACACACACACACACACTGAAGTTATCCAGCAGCCTTGAATTGCACTTTGCACAAGCCCGGTGGCACACTTTATTACAATAAGCAGTTCCAGGTTTCTCAGTTGGAAGCAGGATCATGGGCCCAAGATACTTTGTCCTTGGGGCAAAACACAAAATGGTTCCCCCAGTCACAGAAGACAGTCACTTCATCTCTGGCAGGTTGCATCGCTGCTTCTTACTGGGAAGTAGAGGGGATGGGACCAAGCAGCAGCAATGTCAAGAGAGCAGTGGAGGCTGGTTCCTTAGGGCAACTGGAGCACTGCCTCACCAACCTTAGTTTGCCCTCAGCCAGCCCCCCCCCCCCCGCTGCCATCTTACTGACAACCAGCCCAAGTGATGGCCCTGTCTGTCAGCTTCCTTCTCCTAAGTCTCAGTGTTGCCCCTTGTAGAAATCAGCAGGGAGGAGATGGGAGACAAAAGTACAGTGGTACCTCAGTTTATGAACAGTCCTGCTTACGAACTATTCAGTTTACAAACTCCATAAAACCAGAAGTAGTGTCCCGGTTTGTGAACTTTACCTCGGTCTACGAACAGAAGCCAAATGGTGGAAGGGCACCGGCAGCGGGAGGCCTCATTAGGGAAAGCACGCCTCCGTTTAAGAACAGATTTGGTTTAAGAACGGACTTCAAGAACGGATTAAGTTCGTAAACCGAGGTACAACTGTACAATTTGCAGGCTCCTCCTGTCTTTGGCTCTGGCGCCACCTACTGGGGCTCCCTGCCTTCTGCCCTGCCGGTCCCAAATGCACACCAGCCACCAGTTGGAGCAGTGCACAGCCAGAGCCCATCTGATTCTGGAGGCAGAGCAATAGCCATCATGGCTAGTAGCCATCGATAGTCCTCTTCCTGAATTTGTCCAATCTTCTTTTAGTCTAGGTTGCTGGCTATCACTGCTTCCTGTGGAAGCGAGTTCCACAGTTCAACTATGCACTGAGTGAAAAAGTCCTTTATTTTATCTGTCCTGAATCTCCCAGCATTCAGCTTCCTGAGTCCATGTCCATGAATTCTAGTGTTATGAGAGGGAGAAAACCTTTTTGCTGTCGGCCTTCGCCACACTGTGCACAATTTTATAAACTTCAATTCTATTCTGTCACTTCTGACTCTTACACATGGGTGTAGCCAAGGGGGGCAGGGAGGGGCAGCTGCCCCCTCAATCAATACAAAAACTGCATAGCAAACTGAGGTTCTGCCCCCCCTAACAAAAACCCTGGCTACATCCAAGCTCAACTAACCTGTCCTTTCTCCATGGTTTCCAGTGGGTGGACATCTGTCTTGCCACCCCCCCACCTCCCCCCCGTCAAGCTTTGTGCTCACAGTATCTCATTTGCTTGGGTGGATAAGTGTTGCGAAAAGGAGCGAGGGTTGTTTGCTCCAGCCGAGGCAAAGCGACATCCGATCTAGCAGGGCGAACGGGGAGTGTTTTGTGAGAGTTGTCTGTCACCAAGGAGAAGAGAACAGGACTTGGAAGGAGGAAGCACGACAGACCAGGGACCCGGCCCTGCAAAAGAGATTCTCCCTCTTTTTACGGATCTTGCACCAGAAGTTCTGCAAATCCCCAAAGGACACGTTTGTGTGAATATGTTCGAGGTGTTCGAGGGCGTAAGATAGGAGGATATCAGATATTCGTGGTGTAAGGGTAATCCAATAGTTGCCTCGTGGAGTAGTGGTGGACCAACGAGGGACGCTCTGCTCTTGCCAGAAACGAGTTTTGAACCAAGGACAAGCTGATGATGGGCCACCATTAATGGTGAGGACCATGAGGTCATGAGATGGGAGATCTTAGGAAGTCATTTCACCAACATTTCGACAAGACGATCCAGCCATGCTGCTGTAGGGAATCAAATGTATCCCTGGTTTCTGTGAGAACTGATGGCGCATGGAGCCAAAGTCTGCCTTGAAAATATAACTTTGAGGTGGATTTGTTTTGATGCCACAGGTGGTTGGGAGTGGCTCAAGGGATGGGTTGATGAACAGCAAGGAGAGAGCTGGAGTTTTTAAGGTTGCTGAGCAGATTTTGTACTGAGTCCCCCCCCCCCCAGCGCTTGAAGATGTCCGGAATCCAGGAGGCTCGTATGAGGAGCATCCGTCCATACAAGACCGGGGAACAATACCTCTATGCCATGAAAGAGGACTTGGCCGAGTGGCTGAAGGAACTCTATGATGTGGACATTAACGTGGAGTTCTTCTTGGAAGCCCTGGAGACAGGGGTCTTGCTCTGTCACCATGCCAACAGCATCACCCAAGTGGCTTGGGACTTTGAGCAGAGGTACCCGGGTCTGAGCCACAAGCTCCAGCTGCCCACCTGCGAAGTGACTTGCAACGACTTTGCTCAGCCAGGGACCTTCCAAGCCAGGGACAACGTGTCCAACTTCATCCGGTGGTGCCGGAAGGAGATGGGCATTAAAGGTACGCAGCTCAGATCTGGGTGAGGAAGGGTTGCCAAATCTTGGTCCTCCAATTCTGCCCCTCTGGAGTGGCAAAGAACAAGATTGGGAGGGCTCCATCATGCAGAAAATGGACCAGAGTTGTTCTCCGTTTATAGTTAAACCCACAGGAGGCTGGGATAGCCACCAACCTAGATGGCTTTGAAAGAAGGTTGGACAAATTCATGGAGGAGGAGAGGGCTACTGATGGCCGCTGTGCTCTGCCTCCATAGCTGGAGACAGCAATATTTGTGAATACCAGTTGCTGGAAACCGCAGGAGGGGAGAGGGCTCTTGTGCTCAGGTCCCACCGGCATCTGGTTGGCCACTATGAGAACAGGATGCTGGGCTAGATGGGCCAATGGCCTGATCCAGGAAGCTATTTTATGCTCCTGTGGGTGGTCAGCATCAAGCATGTTGTTGGCTATGTCCAACTCCCCACAGGGGGAGAGTCTGTTGGTGGGGAAAGGCATAATCCCCCAAGATGAGAGATGGGATCAGGATGTTTGCCTCGCCTTGGATGAGAGACGGGAGTGAAAACTCTTGATTTTGGGGGACTTCTCCAACGCAATCTCTTTTTGATTGATGGGGAACAGTGAAAACAAAACAGAGGAGAAAAGTTTGACACAGCACCAGCTGATAACCCTGACTTGGTTTCTCTACGGTGTTTTCCCACCAATTGCCCTTCAGTCCACACTGCCTAGCTGTCCCCTACTTTCACCCCACCTGCTTTGTTCCAGAAGTCCTGATGTTCGAGACGGAAGACCTGGTCTTGCGCAAGAACGAGAAGAACTTTGTCCTCTGTCTCCTGGAGGTGGCCCGCCGAGCCGCCCGCTTTGGCATGAGTGCCCCCACCCTCATCCAGATGGAGGAGGAGATCGAGGAGGAGATCCGCGAGGACCTGAACCTGCCGCCGGAAGAGACCCCCCTCCCACGGGCCCAGAGGAAGCCGGCCAATTTCAAGAACCTCGACCAGATGGTATTTGAGCAGGGAGATTCGCGCCCCAGGGCAAACACAGGGTCCCTAAGCTGCGCAGGGCTCCCCTTCATTGGAGGTTTTTAAGCAGAGGCTAGGTGGCCATCTGCCAGGGATTCTGCAGCTGTGATTCTTGCATTGCAGGGGGTTGGACTAGATGACCCTTAGGGATCCCCTCCAGCTCTACACATCTATGATTCTATGACACATTTGTGCCTGGCAAAAGCAGCAAAGGAAAGGGACAGGGTAGGGCTGGTGAGGGGTGTGGCTTGGGGCAACTCTGGAGGTCCACATCAAGAACCCTAGAGGGCCACCTGTCATCATCATCATCATCATCGTTGTTCCCCCGACTATTTATTTTATTTCATAAAATTTATACACTGCTTGATTGTTTAAAAAAAGAACCTCAAAGCGTAAAACAATAAGATTATCAACAAGAAAAAATTACAATAATTTAAGACTTTCAAAAAGTAAAAATAACAATAGACTACAAAGAATTGTAAACTCACACCAACCTTCTAAATATCTGGGCAGGCTTGTCTAAACAAAACTGTTTTTAACAGGCACTGAAAAGCAAACAGCGAAGATGTCAATAGGCAGGGAGTTTCAATGTGCTATTTATTTATACATCTGCATCCCGCATTCACTCAGTGAAGCTCATACATACTGTTCTCTCCAGTTTCATACTCACAACAACCCTGTGAGGTTGCCCAGGCTGAGGGGCGATTGGTGGTCAGTCTCACGGTCACCCAGTGAGCGTCAGGGCCGAGTGGGGAAGGCAAACCCTGATTTCACAGCTCCTAGTCTAAAACTCTAACCACTATTCCACACTTCCCCTCACTCATATTCAGGTTGTTATTGCCGAACTCATTACTATTCTTATCCTCCTGCTTTCTGCAAAGGTCCAGTGTCTCGTCAGCCGTTGCACCTGCCCGGTCCAGTTCTCCATGATCAAAGTCTCAGAAGGGAAATACCGCGTGGGCAATTCAAACTTGCTGATCTTCGTCAGGGTGAGTTGGCCTGTGGTGGGCGGGGCCAGAGGCAAAAGTGGGTGGAGCAATGGATGCGAATTTTACTTTTGTATAGTAAGCTGGTTTCTGAGCATGCTCACAAACTTGGGCTGAAGGAAGCTGTCCATTTCTGTCCTCTCAGTTCCAAATTTTTCCATCCTGAAATTCTGCTCTCCACTTTGGGGCCACGTTCTTAAATCCTCTTGAAAAATTCATCAGCATTTTGCTGCGAATTTTTCCTAATGCACAATTTTCTGTCAGGACTTTTGACTACTATAATGGCTAATGGCAGCTGGAATTGGGATGATGGCAGCTGGAATGTCGCCATGTTGAGTTGGTGGGTGGAGGGGGACACAGGTCCCCCAATCGTAGGGATGGAAGGATCTGTCAATTTCAGTTTTCTCACTTTCCTATTTTCCCCAACTTCTCTGCCATTTAAAAATTCTAATGACAATTCTTCAGCATCTTAAGGCAAATCTCTCCCAATGCACAAATTTTTGTATGCAGTTTGGACTAATATACACATTTTTGCACCTCAGATTTCCCTAAAATAATGTGTTTTTGTAGGTTACTTTCACTAACATGTTCGTTCTCATGCACACTCCCTGCTAATATATGGATTTTTGCAAAGACTGATTGGCGGGCGAACTGGATAACTGCATTGCAAAATTCAGATGAGTGCATTTGAAGGATGGCTGTGTCTCTGGTTCTCATATTGTTTTAGAATGTTCAGATTCAATAAGTTCACATGTGAACAGGAACAGATTTCTCCCACATCCTTCACACACACACGCACACACGCACACATATTCAGAGTCACAATCACGCTCCCTCCTACATCCAGGAAAGCAGGAAGTATGATCAGAGGTCAAAGACACATCTCAGCCAGGCAAAAACACACAAGGAGGGCAAGAAGCAAGGGGTGTGGCCTTGGAAGAGTCGAAAGGGCCAAATAGAGAAGGCTGAGGGCCACATTCCGGCCACGGACCCAAGGTTTCTCACCTCTGTTCTTCAACAACTGACAGTAGATTTCCAGAATGTCAAAGGCGGGTCTCTCCCAGCCCTACCAGGTATAAGGATCCAGCTCATGCCAGAAGCAGGTAGCCTATAGAGAAGAGAGAGTTACCTGTAGGTAGGACATAGGAATATCATGTGTATTTAACACAGTGGTTCCCACAGTGGACAGTGCTGCCCCCAAAGGCAGGGGGTGGAATTACCCACAGGAGGAAGAGGCAAGCAGGCGGTGGAGGCATAAAAGACTATGAAGCTGGTTTATGGGATCAAGTCCATTGTTGAATCAATGAAACCAAATAGTTTCAGTTGAATTTTGCATAAATGTGCAATTAATCGTTACTGTTTAGAGTTTTATTATGTTTTTATCTTACCCAGTGGGTTGTGCAAACTGCTGTTCTGAGTAAGGGAAAGGATCAGTGGGGATGAATTTATGGAGCCAAGGGGACAGGGCCCCCCCAAAGTTTGGTAACCACTGGTCTAACTTTCTTTGTGTGTGTGTGTGTGTGTGTGCGCGCGCGCCTGTGGCACATAAACAGACTTGTGAAACAATTAGTGTTATCTATCAATCTCTTGGGACGCTGGTGGTGCTGTGGTCTAAACCACTGAGCCTAGGACTTGGAGATCAGGTCAGTGGTTCGAATCCCCATGACGGGGTGAGCTCCCGTTGCTCAGTCCCAGCTCCTGCCAACCTAGCAGTTCAAAAGCACGTCAAAGTGCAAGTAGATAAATAGGTACAACTCTGGCGGGAAGGTAAATGGCGATTCCGTGTGCTGCTCTGGTTCGCCAGAGTCATGCTGGCCACATGACCCAGAAAAACTGTCTGCAGACAAACGTCGGCCAGTAAAGCGAGATGAGCTCCACAACCCCAGAGTCATTCACGACTGGACTTAACGGTCAGGGCGGGGTCCTTTACCTTTATCAATCTCTTAGTCACCTAGCACAGGACTGTCTCCAGGTTTAAAAACTTTTCAGATCCCCAGGTGTAGAGGAAAAACCTTAGCCTGATAGCGATAAGGTGTCTGCGTCATTGCCAGGCAGGCATCACTTGGGAGAGCATTCTGCACAACCGCACGTGTTGTTGTGGCTCACAGTCAGGAAAGGGCATGTGGTGCTCACCTGCGCTCCTTTTTGCTCCAGATCCTGCGGAATCACGTGATGGTCCGAGTGGGCGGTGGCTGGGACACCCTAGAGCACTACCTGGACAAGCATGACCCCTGCCAGTGCACCTCGCTCTGTAAGTCCCCTGTGCTCTTGTCGGACGTAAAGTAAGACCATATTTGCGCCCATCGCTTTAAATCCAAAGTGTTTCATTCCTGTGTTTTTGTTTATTTAGCCCAGCAGGTCTCAAAACTGACTGGGCTTTGACCCAGGCCACATTCAAACCATATCTTTAAAGTGCTATGATGCTGCTTTAAACACTTGTGGCTTCCCCCAGGGCATTCTGGGGGCTGTAGTTTGTTAAGGGGGATGAGAGTTGTTAAGAGAGACCCCTACAGAGCTACAAAGTTCTTCCTGACAGTAAGAGCTGTTCGACAGTGGAATTTGCTGCCAAGGAGTGTGGTGGAGTCTCCTTCTTTGGAGGTCTTTAAGCAGAGGCTTGACAACCATATGTCAGGAGTGCTCTGATGGTGTTTCCTGCTTGGCAGGGGGTTGGACTCGATGGCCCTTGTGGTCTCTTCCAACTCTATGATTCTATGATTCTACAATTCCCGGTGTTCCCTTTGAAGAGGGATTAATATTTGTTGGAAGCCTCCCAAAGTGGCTGGGGCAACCCAGTCAGATGGATGGCATATAAATAAGATATATTATGACAGTGGTACCTCGGGTTAAGTACTTAATTCGTTCCGGAGGTCCATTCTTAACCTGAAACTGTTCTTAACCTGAAGCACCACTTTAGCTAATGGGGACTCCTGTTGCCGCCATGCCGCCGGAGCATGATTTCTGTTCTCATCCTGAAGCAAAGTTCTTAACCCGAGGTACTATTTCTGGGTTAGCGGAGTCTGTAACCTGAAGAGTATGTAACCTGAAGCGTATGTAACCTGAGGTACCACTGTATTGTTGTTGTTGTTGTTGTTGTTGTTGTTGTTATACTCCTTCTGCTGAGTTGGGCCCTGCACGTCTGTCCTAAAGTCCTGACCTGATGGTACCACTCTACCTGCTAATAACAGGGATGGGGAACAATTTTCTAGCCTAAGGTCTGCATTCTCTCATAAGTATCCTTCCAGGAGGCACATGGTAGGGGTGGGCGGAGCCAGAGGCAAAAGTGGGCGGAGCCGCATATATAAATTTTACCTTTGTACAGCAGGCTAGTTTATACACACATACATACCTCTCTGTCCTCAATCCAGGCAACCCAGAGGCATTACCCAGGCAAAACCAGGATGTGAAGCAGGACCAGTAGAGGATGCAGCTGGGGGAGGTTGTAGCCTAGGGAGAGTCCCGGGGGCTGGCAGGGCTGCATTCATCTCCTGGGCCTGAGGTTCCTGCCCTCTGTGCTACGAAAGAGAGCAGGGCACCTGCAGCTTGTATAAAAGCCATTGCCATGACTATTGTAATGACACTGATGTCCACTAGAGGGCAGGCCAGTGCTGCAGATAACAAATACAGTCCTTAGAACTGAACTTAACCCAAGCAAATCAATGGAACCTCCCAAAATTTGGGAAAGAAAATGTACTTCATGGAATCATAAAATCATAGAATTGTAGCATTGGAAGGGACCCTGAGGGTTATCTAGTCCAACTCCCTGTAATGCAGCAATCTCAACTAAAGCATCCATGACAGAGGGCCATCCAACCTGTTTTAAAACTTATTATTTATTTATTTCTATAAGATGCATATACTGCCCTTCACCATAAGATCTCAGGGTGGTTCACACTTCTAATGAAGGAGAGTCCACAACCTTCCAAGGGAGTCCATTCCACTTTCGAACAGCTCCTGCTATCAGAAGGTTCTTGCTAATTAATGTTTAGTCGGAATCTCCTTTCATGTTATGTGAGCAATGAGTTATTGGGGTGGCAACAAGCTGGTCAGATGAGCAGGAAATGTCCGTGGGATCCAGGATGCAACATATTGCAGAGGATTTTTGGAGCATTAACTATTCTAGACTTCAGGGCTTGCTGTTGCATCCCTGGTATAATTTTCCTTGCAGAATTAACGCAGAAGTAGACCTATCCTTTAGTCCTTCTAGGAACCTCGGGCCTGGGGGATGAATGTGCCCAGGAGAGGCCAAGCCAGATCTGTGAGCTACTCAGCTATTCCACATCTCTGACAAAATAAGATTCTGGACCTTGAAAGCATATATTGTGATAACTGTGTTAGAAGCTGAGGTTCTGCAGGATTCTCTCTCATTGATTTCCCCAACCCTTTCTGCAGCTCACAAACAAGCCTTGAGGGCAGGCAGCCCTCAGAAGATGCAAGCCACGCCGGTCCAACATGAAATCACAGCCCGCTTAACGCCCAGGAAAGACAACCCCAAGTCCCAGCCTGCTTTGATTGTCACCCGATCCCAAAGCCCGCTACCCCCAGTGGAGTGGAGGACCTATACTCCTAACAGCCCTGGGTGGAAGACTCTGCAGCGGTCACCTCCAAGCAACGGTGGCAGCGGCGGCAGCAGTAGGAAAACCACAGCTCTGCTTATCTCCCCGGAGGTCTCAGAACATCGGAGAGTCCCTTCCGTCAGGTGATGACAGATAATGTGTGGGGAGATAGGAAGAATTTGTTTTCTGCCAACAGCTCAAAGTTTTCACTTCTGACCAACCTAGATTTATGGCCCAGAGTAACTGGAACAATGTTATGGTAAAGAATATGAGCTACAAGCTATATATATCTATATATCTCCATTGGTCCTACGTTGTTCCTACAAGGAATTTGCAGTTGGAGACAACAATGCTTCTGAATTCCAGTTGCTGCCTTCAGATGTCTTCTAAAAGTCAGATAGTTGTTTATTTCCTTGACGTCTGATGGGAGGGCGTTCCACAGGGAGGGTGCCACTACCAAGAAGGCCCTCTGCCTGGTTCCCTGTAACCTCACTTTTCGCAGGGAAGGAATCACCAGAAGGCCCTCAGAGCTGGACCTCAGTGTCCGGGCTGAAAGATGGGGGTGGAGATGCTCTTTCTGGTATACTGAGCTAAGGCCATTTAAAGGTCAGCACCAACACTTTGAATTGTGCTCAGAAATGTACTGGGAGCCAATGTAGATCTTTCAGGACCGGTGTTATATGGTCTCAGTGGCCACTCCTAGTCACCAGTCTAGCTGCCACACTCTAGATCAGTTGTGGTTTCCGGGCCACCTTCAAAGGTAGCCCCACATAGAGTGCATTGCGGTAATCCAAGCGGGAGATAACTAGCGCATGCACCACTATGTGTTGTGCTTATGTTATTGTGTTCTTCTCTTTCAGGGCGAGGTCAGTGACTCCAACCCGGAGGCTGCCGGGCCCCGAAGAGAGACCCGCATCTAAGCCAACTCTCTCTATGCAGAGCGGAAGAGAGGCATGCCCTGTCCTGTCCCAGCTGAACGGAAGCACGGAGAACAACTTGCCCGTTCGGAAATCTGTCTCAGAGGCACATCGCGGAAGGTCTCCTGCCAGAATCCCAACGCCGACACCTCACAAAGAGAAACCAGAGAGGCCAGCGTCATCCAGAGCTGCTACACTGAGGGCTCCAGTGACCTGGCGTCCAGGAAGGTCCCAGCCTGAAATAAACGGCCCGCAGGCCCGCTCTTGCAGTCCAACCAAGCACTTCCAGGCCCCAATGGAAAGCCCTGCAAGGCCGCAAGGTGGAGTCACCGTACACAGCTGGAGTAAGGACTCAATAGCGTGGCGATCACCCTCCCCAGTAAAACACGCAGGTGTAACTCAGAAAGAAGACAGCAGTGCCAAGACCTCTGGAAGAGTTGCCCCAACATCATACAGGCCACCAGCAATTGGTAGCAGCTACCAAGAGGCGTTCTGTTTCAGAAATGGGGGTAACACCCTGGACAAAAACCAAGCCAACCTGCCCAGGAAAGAGCTTTTCAAGGGCAAGGCCCCACTTCTGAGAGAACAGGGCAAGGCTGTCAGCCTGGAAGCATCAGCCAGCAGGTTCTCCAACAGCTCAGGGGGTGGAATCGGTCAGAAAGTGAAGGATGGTGGGAGCTTAGCTGGGCAAGAGGGTGTTCCAGGAAGACCTTGTAAAGATGGCCGAATGAGTCAAGGGGATACCAAGGAACTGGGCAGGGGAACAGAACGTGTTTACACACCACTGCCTATCGATCCGGTGGAAGAACAAGCTCTGTACAGGAGCCTAGAGGATGAGATTTTGGCCAACATCAAGGAGCTGGAGGAAGTCTCTGAAGGCAACCCCGTTTCTCAAGGGAGTCAGCTAGGAGGGTTTGGAGTGGACTGTTGCCAAGGAAGAGATGCCATGGCCTTGACCTGTAATGGGCCGAGGGTCTCCACACCCACCTGGTCCTCTTTGCCTATCACCCCGAGGACCTCAGTCTCTGAGGGAAGTGTGCCTCGGAGCGGGGTCTATGTGCCTGAGAGGGAGATGAGGTGGCACCCCGCGGGACTACATTACGACAGCGTTGTTCAAGAGCTCTCCAAGACACTGCACCGGGAGCACGCAGGGACTGAGGGAAGTCCCCCCCAGTCAAGTCCATCTCTGGTGAATGGAAACCAGGCCAGAAAAACATTCCTAGACAGAGAAAGTCCTGTTCCTGAGAAGAACTGTGTGGCCCCTGAAGCAGAAGGTGGAGAACCACACCACACAGCTTGTGTGGAAGTGGACGGAAACGCCAGAGCCTCTCAAGCGATGCCAGGCAGACCTCCTGATTCTCCAGAGCACTCTCCAGCTCCTGAGGACACAAAACTACCTCAGAGTAAGCCGAGGCGGTCTCTGAAGAAACCGGAGAGGGTGCCCTCCATTTACAAGCTGAAGCTGCGCCCCAAAATCCGGCCACGCAGAGACAACAGGCCCGAAAAGAGGCCTTCAAGGATCCCCACTCCAATCGCGTACAGGCATGCCCAAAGAGGATCCAGCGTCAAGGCCCAGGCGAAGAAGGCCCACAGCGTCAAATCCCAAATCTGGAGTGACCAGGCTGCCGTGAGGCAATATGGCTCGGGGGACACTGGGTCCAAAGACCAGGCTGCACTTTCTGACTACAGCCCTTCCTCCACACAAGACGGGGGTCCTGGGAGGAAAACAAGTGTGACAGAGGGGGAAACGGAGGCGTCAAGTGTGGAGGAGTCCTGGGTGTGACATTTCCTTAAAGATGCGATTGCAGTCTCGGAATTGCAGTTGCGGTCTTTTCTTGTGCCTAACCCCCATCGCCAAGCTTTGTTTCTGGTGGTCTCAGTTTCGGGCCAGAAAAGTGAATTAATGAGAATTGTACCATATGCATTTATGGTTGTGTGCTAACTATGCAGTATGTTGAACCAGGGGTGGGGTGGGGACCCCTCTCTCCTACTCCCTCAGCTACCTAAACAGTTAGCAGACACCAAGTGCAGGTCTTAGCTTGTAACCCTGAAAGCTAGAAGCTTGCAGCTGTACCTCTGTGGGTGTGTTGATCCCACAGGGAAACAAAAGGTTGCCAATGGGGAGCTGTATGTTCTACATATCATTATCTTTGTTCTTCGACTTTCTGGAAATAAACTTGGATGAATGCAGGTGCTGTTGGGGGGCATTTAGTTGAGTATCTTCTGCGTCTCTGCAGTTCACAAAACAAAGGTGGAAGATGGCTCATTTGCTAAGGTCTGGTTTCCTGGTTGTGCTATAGATAGCGACAGATTCTGTCATGCACCTGCCCCCAACATCTATCAGGCTTGTTCTTGGTTGTCACACAAGCCCAAAGATGAGGAACCTGTGGTTCTCTGGCTGTTTTTGGACTCCCAGTCACCATAGACAATGAGTGATGGGGATGATGGCAGCTGGAGTCCAGCGACACCAGGAGGGCCACCAATTTTCCACCATGAAGAATCGAATCCTGCTCCAGGGTTTAAAATAGCAGGAGCTGATTTTGGATGCATTGTTTGCATCCATGAGAACTAGAGCCTTCTGACTCTTTCAATAAAGGAAGTTCAGACTCTCCGAATTCCGTGTAGGTTGGGGGACTAAGAACGTGCAGAATCAGCTCAGAACAGAGAGAACACACAGGCCTCCTGGTATGTTTAATAGGATTGCATTTGATTAAATATTAATGCAATAAAGTCTGATTTGATGAATATTTTTTTTTTAAAGAAGGGGCCATCGCACTTGTCAGTTACCCAAATCCCCTTGCACTTATTCGCCAGGAGAACATCAGGAGGTGGGAGCATGTTTAATTCTTAATGAGCAATTAGCTGGAGCACTCCCTGTCTGCTTTATCTCCATGCGTAAAAGTGTTAGAAACTTAACTATATATATAAAATTTTAATTCAGAGAGGGACCTGGAATATCTCCAGGGGGGCATTGCTAGGTCCATGGAATACTTGGGGCCCTAATTTACATAAAATGTGTATGCACAAATATAGGGCAGCTTTCAGAAGATGAGCAGCCCCGTATTCAATTAGTATTATTATTGTTTTTAAAAAAAGTTTAAAAGAAGGAGAAAGAGCAGGAGACCCCATGCATAGTTTAAAGGCACTTGCTCTGCAACCCATCCCGTAACAACGCCTTTGCAGCCCTGACCTTGGCTAGAACCCTGACTCTCGCTGCCTTGCAGGGGTTAGACTAGAAGACTCTTGGAAGTATTGGAAGACACAAGATCTACCCACCCTGGAAGAATGGCAGATGAAGGTGATGGACTATATGGAATTGACAGAAATGACCAGCAGAATCTGAGACCAGGGAGAAGAGTTGGTGGAAGAAGATTGGAAGAAATTTAAAGACTATCTACAGAAATATTGTAAAATTAATGAATGTTAGAATGATGTTGGATAAAAAGTTGAGTGGTGTTTAGCTATAATGCTATAAGGAATATGAAAAAATGGATTATTAATAGGTAAAAATTTAATGTTACAATATTTTAAGATTAAAGACTAGGATAAACAAAGAGGGAAAGGATTTGCTGAACTAACAAGTTGAATTGGAATACAAAAAGGGAGGTGCGAGGAGGTCCGGGAAACAAGCAAATGAAAGATAAGTGATGGAAAGATGGAATTGTTTTTTAAATATTTTTATTTTGTATTTTTTCTTTTTATTTTTTCATTTTGTAATATGCTGAAAACTTCAATAAATATCTTTATAAAAAAAAATAGACTAGAAGACTCTTGGGATTCCTTCTAACTCTACAATTCTATAGAATCACAGAGTTAGAATTGACCACGAGGGTCATCTGCTCTAACCCCTTGCAGTGCAGGAATCTTTTGCCCAACATGGGACTTGAACCCACAGCTCTGAGTTTAAGAATCTACTGCTCTACTGATGAATCTACCCCAGACCTGTGATTCTACTTGCCTCCGACCTTCTGGGACCCCCAGCGAATAGCTGCAAGTTGCAAAGGTTTGCTTCCATCATTGCATCTGCTTCTTCCTTCAGCGCTATGTTCTACAACTCCCATGCGCTTGATCTCGCAGGAAGAAACTCCTGTGAAATTTGGTGCACGCTTCCATACATGTATGTGTTTAATGGCCATTGGCCATTAAAGAATCTATGGCCTGTAAAAGCTGGGGGGGGTGGCACTGTTATGATTATTTTATTATTACACTTTTTATTATTACGCTCCACAAAATGGGTTCTTAATGCTGTATACCGCACTGGGATCTTTTGATAAAGGGCAGTATATAAACTGAATAAATAATAAATAATAATAATACATTTCTCCAGAGGTGGCTGGTAGGGCAGAAGGCAGAACACCCAACAGTAGGTGGTGCTAGAGGAAACTCATTCCAACAGTAAATGGTAAAAGTAAAGGTACCCCTGACCATTAGGTCCAGTCGTGGCCGACTCTGGGGTTGCAGCGCTCATCTCACTTTATTGGCCGAGGGAGCCGGCGTACAGCTTCCGGGTCATGTGGCCAGCATGACTAAGCCGCTTCTGGAGAACCAGAGCAGTGCACGGAAACGCTGTTTACCTTCCTGCCGGAGCAGTACCTATTTATCTACTTGCACTTTGACGTGCTTTCAAACTGCTAGGTGGCAGGAGCAGGGATCGAGCAACGGGAGCTCACCCCGTTGCGGGGATTCGAACCGCCAACCTTCTGATCAGCAAGTCCTAGGCTCTGTGGTTTAACCCACAGCGCCACCCGCATCCCTACATTCCAACAGTTGTTGTTGTTTAGTCATTTAGTCGTGTCCGACTCTTCATGACCCCATGGACCAGAGCACGCCAGGCAACAGTAGGTGGTGCCAAAGAGACTGAGCAGGGGGAAGCTGATGGGGTGGGGCCACCCCTGGACTGGATGAATGTAAGAAAGAAGGCAGGCAAGGATAGGCTGAAGTTGGCAACGCCCTCCCTTGCTTTGCCTTAGGGACCAGCCTCCATCTGGAATCTAGAGATGCTGGTCATCTCTTTGGCAGAAGTGTGGAGGGCAGTCAGTGGTGCCTCCAGGGTAAGACTCTTGGCCACAGGTCCAGAGTCTCCTTCAGCAGAAGGAGCAGGAGGGGCCTCAAGAGAACCTTGGCTGGTTCACCCCATTTAGAAATAAGTAGAGTTCTCCAAGGTGGTGCCCTCCGTAGGTTGCTGGCTTTCGAACTCTCATCATCCCTGGCCGTTGGCCATGCAATGGGTCGATACCCACAGGCTAGCCATCTTTTAGGATAGAGTTAGAATCATGGAATCCCTCCCAACCCTATAATTCTAAGAGTCATCTAGCCCAACCCGCTGCAACTAAAGGAGTTGGGTTTTGAGCATGGGATTTGAAAACAGGAGAGAGAGAGAACAGTGGCTCTTGGGTGGCCTCCCCCCAACCTAATGCCCTCCAGACATTTTGGAGTACAGCCTCCACCAGTGGCAGCAGAGGCCGGTGGGAGTTGGCATCTAGAGAGCCCCAGGTTGGGGAAGTCTCATGGGCACAGCTGGGGGTTGGGGGGCAGATCCCACCCCCCAAATCAAGTAAAGACCTGGCTAAGGTTGACAATGATAGGGGAGCCTCTCAATGGGCTGGGCTTACTGAGTGTGCACAGGGGGGGGGGGACTGCATTGGAAAAGAGGAATTTGAGAAGGAAGTGCTGAAAATGTTTTCAGCAAATCCAAGAAAACTTGTCTCAGTTTAGATTTTTTTAAAAATAAGATGAAAAAAGGCACGTTCTTTGTAATTTTGCAAAATATACTTGATAACCACATGAAAGGTCCTCCCTGATGTTTTTATTTAACTTCCTAATTTCCAAAGGACTGAAGATTTTGACAGATTTTTCTGAGCACTTGGGGTTAAAATACAATAATTTAAAACAACTGTTGTTGAGACATTTCATTCCAAAACTGCTAGGCAGAGTCAGGCAGAGGGTGATGGCATATGTCCCTAGCCTGACATAAATCCTGGCTATGCCCATGGGAAGTCTGTTTTTGGGACAAGGAACAGCAAAGGGAGAAGGAATACCTTTTTTTTTTGGTTTTGGTTTTCGGATGCAGGATCTAGAGATTTTCGCTCTGCCTTCGGTTCCAACTGCCTGCTCTGATTGCCTCGTACAATCTGATTGCCTTGGTACAATCTCTGCCGAAATGCGACTTGATCTTGAAACGGGTAACTTTGAAAGCCGTGGTTCTGATTCTCCTTCGTGAGTCATCGCCACTCATTCTCCTGCTGCAAAGCCTGCTCTCTCCTCCTCCAGGAATGATAGTGTAAACCGCTCTCAACAGGGTGGACTTTTTAAGCTACAATTTACTGATTGTTCCCAAGTGCAAAGGGATGGAGCTGCTCTGGGTGATGATGGAAGGAGAAGGAGAAGCGGCTGAGTCAGGCGCAGATGTGAGATTTTAATAGCAGACGTCATCTCAAACTCTCAAGAACAACACAAGACTCAACAGAAGAGCTCTGTTGGGTCAGACCAAAGCATGGATGGGTTGTTGTTTTTTTCTGAAAATCTGGATGCCAAGTTTATCTGTGTGGATTTGTCATATTTCCCTCTTGTTCCTTGAACTTGGCGAAGAACGAGTTTCAGCTTAAAACACGAACAGTTCTGGCATATTGTATGTGTTATAGCCATTTTTATACATATAGTATTCATATTATATGCATATACACTCCCGGTTTCTAAAGCAGCCAGAACATAAGAGCTGCATAGAAGGATGCATATAACTGGATAAAATACTTATGTGTTAGTTCGTATAAAATTATCCCGTAGGAATATAGTACTGAGTTGTGTATGGTTTTTTGTTTGTTTTGGAAATATTTTTTGCATTTAATTTTGCATGTGATTAGCTGGGCTTTTTAAAAAAAAAGAAAACAGAACATAAGAAGAGTCTCCTGGACCAGGCCTATGAAGTTCAGCATCCTTTTCTCACAGTGGCCAACCAGATGCCTGTGGGACGTTCCAAGGCAGGACCCCAACACAAGAAGAAGAAGAAGAAGAAGAAGAAGAAGAAGAAGAAGAAGAAGAAGAAGAAGAAGAAGAAGAAGAAGAAGAAGAAGAAGAGTTTGGATTTGATATCCCGCCTTTCACTCCCTTTCAGGAGTCTCAAAGCGGCTAACATTCTCCTTTCCCTTCCTCCCCCACAACAAACACTCTGTGAGGTGAGTGGGGCTGAGAGACTTCAAAGAAGTGTGACTGGCCCAAGGTCACCCAGCAGCTGCATGTGGAGGAGCGGGGAATCGAACCCAGTTCCCCAGATTACAAGACTACCGCTCTTAACCACTACACCACACTGGCTCTCTCCCCTTCCGTAGCTCCCAGCAATTGGTAATCTGAAACTTTTACTGCTTTTGACCATGTCGGCAGGACGTAGCCATCCTAGCTAGGAGCCATTGCTAGCCTTTGCCTCCTCCATGAATTTGTTCAACCTTCTTTCAAAGCCATCCAAGTTGGTGGCCCTCAGATATCTCCTGCGGAGGAGAAAGAGCCATTGTTTAGCTATGGAGAAGGACTTCCTTTTATCTGTCCTAAAACCTCCAACAAAAGTCATAGGTCATTAGGCCCAGTCCTAAGCAGGTGCTTGCAAGGAGTGGTCCGATGCAGTCACAGAGGTGGCCCAATGGGGAATCTAGTTGGAAACTGTGAGAACAGGACTAGAAGGGTTCTTCAGAGTTGCTGTTCGTCAATTCACAACCGGATGGGCCTCCCCTACTTTAGGACTTCATTTGAATAATTTTTAAAACCCTTTTGTATTTTGTAAGGTTTTTTTTCTTTTTAAATCCAAACATACACATAAGTTTCTCCATATATTTTAGCTTTAAGAATAGGATTGCATGATATGGCACACCCTGGCTTTCAATTCTTAACAGGCCTGCCTCAATCGATGCCCCTTTTTTGGAAGTTTATAATAACACAGTACCCCTCAAACAAAAAGAGGTGCTGGGGGAACGATCCAGCCACTCTGTAAAAGTGTGTGTGTTTTCTGTATATCCAGTGTTTTGCATGAGTCACTATAACAGTGACCCAGGTGAGTGAAACAGGACGTGGCCATTTTCTTAACATGACAGAGGCTATTTTGAATTCCCCCATTCCACCTTGGAAGAGGGCTTTCCATGAAAAACAAAATGGCGGCCTTTCTCCCCATACCCTTGCACATGAAATAGCCAGAGCTTGAGCAAAACAAATGATTTTGAGGTGGATGAAGCAGCTGACAGATTGTCCTTGTCAACAATCCCTGAGATTAGAGATTGCAGTTTGCTGTGGTGATATCAAG